GAGGAACTACATTTTTCTTCAAAAGTATTACACACTACTAGTACAAAACCAAACAAAGAACGCTGACTTTTAGCAACCGTCACGGAAAGTCCAAGGCTTTATGCGACCCTAGTATCCGCGACTGTTGCACAACAGTTCCGAAAAGTCCTTTACAACATGTACTAGTGACACTTTTCCATTCCATATAAGTAAGAAATATTTTATTCATGGTTAGTACTACATGTTTCAGTATAAGTATTACATTTCATATTGATCCGACCCGTCACACGGACAAACGTAAGATGGCCTCAGATAATTTTTTGCCGAATATTATTATATAAAATTTATATATTTAAAAACTACGGTACTATAAAACACAAAAAAAAAAAAAAAAAAAAAAAGAGAGAGAGAGAAATTATTAGAAAAAATATATATAAAATAAACAAATAAGAAATATATAGTTGGTTTAACTAATGAATAATAAACATGATAAATAAAATATAACATAAAAAATATTAATTATTATATTTCAACAAAATAATACCATGTACAGTAAAATTGTTTTACTGACTCGTGAGTTCCTATAAGAGTGAATTTCATTTTTGGTCCTACTATAATAGGGGCGTTTCCAATTTCAGTCCATTTTAATTTTTTTTTTTTTTTGTTACTTTACAACCACTATTATTGAATGTATTCCACTTTTAGTCCACCGTTAATATTTCCGTCAAGAGGCCGTATAATCAAATGATATTTTGGTCTTTTCACTACTGGAAATTATGAAATTTCCGACCACCTGAAAGTGATCTTAAATCAAGTCGAAAGCCTTGTTCCGACCACTTTTGGTATCCGGAAAAACCTTTGTTGCTATTTCCGACCACTTTTTGGTATTAACTTGATTTAAAATCACTTTTATGTGGTTGGAAATTTCATAATTTCCAGTAGTGTTTTATGTTTGTCTCTACTCTTTTAACCCAGGCGCTTCGTCCTCCTCCTCCGATATTCGAAGATGGCTCTTCAAACAACGAGAATGGGAAGCCAAAGCTACATCGTTTCGTTCGTTCCAACATGGACCGACGAGGTTTCTTAGGTTTTAGGTTTAATGTTCTCATTTCTTTAGTCAAACATCGTCTTGGATGAGAAGGAAGGTCAAAATACCCCTAGATTATACGGCCTCTTGATGAAAATACTAACGGTTAGACTAAAAGTGGAACACATTCAATAATAGTTGTTATAAAGTGACAAAAAAATTAAGGTAAACTAAAATTAAAAACGCCCCTATAACAATAGGACCAAAAATAGAATTCACTCTTCCTATAAAATGCCATAATATATCTTTAAGAAGAAGAATAGAAAAACGTATGCATTTATTCTCTCTCTCTCTCTCACTTTTCCCTTTTTTTCCTTTTTTTTTTTTTTGCTTTCAAATCCTATCATTCTATTTTATGAATGATTGATGTTTTAAATGAAAAGATTCAATGTTTAATAAAACGTTATAATCTAAAATTGATTCCCTCCATTAATATAAAAGTGGGGGTGGATGAAAATGGGGAATCTTGAAGTTTTGTTATTGGGAGATAAGTTTAGGAAGACGGAAATATAATTATTGTGGATGAAATTAGCTAAATGCGATTTTAAAGTAAAATAAGATATATAGTTAGCGTAATTCGCGGTTGCATCACATGGAAAAGAATATGGAATTTGATAAAGATATTGAATGGCAAAATAAACAAACTACGTAAGTACATGCACCAACCTAGCTATATATAGCTTCCCCTACTATTCCTCTAATTCTTATTGAATTGCTCCAAATATAATAATAATGATTATTATCATTATTAATATTAATATTGTATATTGTATATTGAATGCTGAGCAAGTTGTGGTAAATTAAAATTAAAGTAATTAATACTACACAAGGTTACAAGTTTGACTATCAATAAGAGAGATTTGTTAACCTACTTGATTTTAGCCGGTCAACTATGGACAACTTTGACTGATGATTTTTTATCGACTATGATTTACCTAGTACACATTTTTTTATAGTGATTGTGAATTTCCTTGCCACTGACAACTCAAAAGTAATTAATACTACTTTTTTTTTTTTGAAAGCAAAGTAATTAATACTACATAATTTGCAAAAATATTATATATGCATTATCACAATAAGCTTGGGAATTATTACATTGGGTAATCTCAATTGAGTTAGGTAATTGATTGGACTCCTTAAAATAGGTCTCTATTAGCTTGCTTGGTTTGAACTGATTAATCTTTTTATAATTATAGGGTCAAAAGGTAAGCTTCACTCATAACATGGTTATAGCCTCTCTCCTAAATTAAAGATATTATAACACAAATGTAAAAATCTTAATTGATGTATTATTCAATTCCCTAGTTACATAGACTTGTAAAATAAAATAAATAAATAAATAAATAAAAATCCACCGATCTCCGATCTGTTGCAATATGAATGAATGGGACAATATTATATTTTCCCAGTTAAATATAATTCCGTATTAACAAACTAGGTGGATGGGTAAAATAGCTACGCCTACCAATCCTTACTAATTAAGGATATAATGAAACCTAAAACACTGACTCTGTTTAGGATGCATGTAGTATTTGGAATTTGAACCTGTGATCTTTTAAAGTCTTTGGCTGTAGATTTAGGTTGTTTGAACCAGCCTTATTTTGCTGAATAACTTACCTAGCTAGCTATGAATATGTATATATATGTGTGTGTGGGAGATTATAATTATTTGTTCAACGCCAACGAGGATGCATGTCAATCTTTGAAATGGTCGTAAACAAATTAAAGCGATGGAACGTATAACGCAAGAAAACCCCAAAAGCAGTGGTGTTACGTTGTACGTTCAATCTCAACACCATATTGCACTGCACTGCACTGCACTGTACATAATATTATATAATTAGAGCAATTAGTATTAATGTACTATTATAGAGAAACCGCGTAAAACTTGCATGTGCTTTGTCTTACTTGCATTATTTTATTATACTATTGATATATGTTAATGTTTTGAAATGTTAACTCATTGTTTGCCACGTGAAATAGATTGCCCATCCTAGCTTTTACATATACATATACATATGTATATATAGTATAATTTATTCTGAAAATTAAATTAAATGTATGAGCTGAGCAAAAAATGATATTCTTAAATTTTGTCATACGAAGATGTTTCGTTTGTCGCATGTATAGCTTGGCAACCAATAAATGTGATAGTGTCTTCTTAAAGAGGGTTTGGGAAGGGCAAAAATATATGGAAAGAAGGCGACCAGGGCCGTGTATTATGGCAACACTTTTTTGTTTTCTTCTAATTAATCTCAACACACACAATCATCTGTATTATATATCATGCAATTGATGATAGATGAACTATCTAGCTACTAGCAACTCAACTTGCGCTTGGACTTTCCTTTAGCTGGCCCCCTGCGCTCAATTCACAAACATAAGGATTCTACAAAAGATGTTCATTAAAAGTAACGAACGAAATAAAAACAAACAGATAATTAAAGTAATAATGTCAATTTAGATAGAGCGTGTGTTTGATAAGTGTTAAAATTAGTGATTGAAGGAAATTGAGAAGTGAAGGAGATGGATTGATTTGAAATGAATTCAATTGCAATATATATATATATATATATATATATATATATATATATATATATATATTAGTCATTTAACACTTTAGTCACATTAAGTTGGCTCTTAATTATCGTGGCGTAGACCTTGCAACCATTATAGATATTGGTATAAAAGGTGATGAGGATTGGACATCCGATCCCCTCATGCACCCACTGCACATCTCTCCTTATTATTGATGTTCATTATTACTCCGTATTATATTGGTGTTAATAATGCATCTAAAGTGTAAAAAGGATCCGAATTTTTAAGACTTTAAGGCAATTTATGTAGAATTTCTTGTTTTAAGGCTTCTTTTTTTTTTCTTTTTTTTTTTTTGGCGTATTCTTTACTAGGCTGTTAACGAACAGAACATAAACGAACGGAGGTTGTTCGTGTTCGTTTGTTAAGGTTTTTGGAGTGTTTGTGTTCATTTGTTAAGGTTTTTGAAAATCATATTCGTGTTCCTTTGCTAAGCGTTTATTAGTGTTTGTTGGCATTTGATGCTTTACACATTTGTCATGTTTAAAGGAAGTGAAATAAGAATTAGGATGGAGTAAACGTAATATAATGGGAAGAGGTGGGCTTAACATCATTTCCCAAGAAAGAAGAAAGAATTGGTATAAAGTTGAAAGCAGCTCCCATACATAATCAAATTAAATTCCATTTACACCACTGCACCCTACTTACCTGTAACCGGAACCTAATTCTGAATTAATAATCTCCGGTTCATTAACCAATCCGAAGCGAAACGGTAATCTTTCTCGATGGTCGGAAACATTTGTTTATGTTTTTTTTTTTTTTTTTTTTTTTTGCAAGAGTCTCTTTATTTAATATAGTATGTAGTACTTGCGCGATAGTTCTTGTTTAGTACAGGAAATATAATACTCCTAATATAAGTTAAGACTTCAATATTTTTACAGCTAAGACTACGTATGCGTCTGTTCGTTCTACCATAAGATTTTTTATTTTATTTGTTTATATGCGTGTTTGTGTGTAAATCCTATTGGTTTCTCACTCATATAGATACGGGCGATTGTCGGTCAACCTCAAGGTAGTGGGACCAATAATGTGTTTGTGTAGGCCGGAATCACAAAAAAGAAAAGAAAGAAAAAAAAAAAAAAAAAAAAAAAGCTTACAGACAGAGTCAATATATATAATATATTCACATACACTAGAAAATTACCATACCCTACCAAAACCAATTACGCTGTTGTCTCAGCTCGATCTGTGTTCTTTCTTTCTTTGTTTATTTCTTTGACGATAGGCTGTAGATAGCTTTGATTTGTTTTCAATAAGAAGAAAGAACGAACCTCGATCACACTGCACCCCCAGTGAGGAATCTAGATATATATATATATATATATATATGCTTCTTTAATTTGAACTGATTTGATTTTTGGAATTGAATTGGAAGCTAAGGAAGAATCCATGGAGAACAAATTTGATGAGCTGATCATGAAAAGAGATAGTGTTGTTTCAATGGGAATTCCTGTATTTTCCGATGAGATTCCGAGCATCTCTCCGCCGTTGCAGCAAGCTCTGTTCGACATCTCTACGTGTGAAGCTGACAAGACTACTTATTATTCTTTGGGCTTCTTAGATGCTCAACATAACAACACTACTACACCCATACGCTCTAACACCATATTTGATCTCATCATCCACACTCCGCCGCCTTCAGCTCCCTCCCCGGTGGCTTCTACTACATCTCTTCCGGAGTCGTCCGAGGTGGTGATGAACACTACTCCCCCTACCCCTAATTCTTCAGTGCTGTCTTCGTCCTCCAATCAAGAAGCTATTGCGGTGGCCAACGATGATCAACAGCAGACCAGTAAAACAGTGGAGGAAGAAGATGAAGACAGGACTACTATGAAACAGTAATAACCCTACTACTACTACTACTCCGATTCGATTATATTTTAAATATTGATATTACCGTGCAAGCGAGCTAAGCTATATAGGCTTATAATAATAAGTAAATCCATGTTTTAATGGGGCGGTTAGTTTAATTTGTGCGTAAATTAAACTAAATAGTGTGTAGTAGTTATTATAAGTGAATTTGGTTAATTACTTGGTGGATCATACAGGAGTAACAAGCTAAGTATATATGTATAGTTGATGTTGGAATATATATGTATGTGTGTGTAGGCTGAAACTCAAAAAGAAGAAGAAGAATGAGAAGAAGAGGCAAAGGGAAGCAAGATTTGCGTTCATGACAAAGAGTGAAGTGGATCACTTGGACGATGGGTATAGATGGCGCAAGTACGGTCAAAAAGCTGTCAAGAACACCCACTTTCCCAGGTACCGCCAGCTGCATACTTATCTTATACTTTTTTTTTTTTTTGAAACACACTGCACCAATAGCAAGTATATAATCCTTGTAAATATAGCACCTCACCAATCTTATACTACTACTAGTCCAATCTACAAACATACATATTTCCACACACTATACTAGCTATACACTCCTCAACTTTGAATTCATTTGATCCCCATCTATCTTAATTAATTTAATTTATACATATATATACTTCCTAATCTTATTAACTTGTATTCTTTCACTCCATCATATATATATATATATATAGTGTTGCATTGAGCGATATATATAATGCTTACAAATTAAATTCTTGTGGCCTGGGCTGGGCTTAATCAATAAATATATTGGTGGGGCCCCGGGATTGAAGAGTAAGATGTGATAGATGTTTTTTTAGTGCAGTGGGGTGGGTATATATGAAAGCTTAATTGGTAGTTAAGTTGGGAATATATTTAATTTGGTAACAATACATATACAGGAGCTACTATCGTTGCACGGCAGCTTCATGCGGCGTGAAGAAAAGAGTAGAAAGATGGTGCGAAGATGCGTCCATTGTTGTGACCACATATGAAGGTACCCACACGCATCCGTGTCCCATCAAGCACGCCGGATCCGGTGGCCTTGCCGCCCTTGGAATTGGGAATATGCCAACACCCTCCACCTCCTTCTTTCCTACTACTACTGCACATCCACAAGGTGGAATTACCAGTAGCAGTAGTAGTTATTGTTTTCAGGACAATAATAATGTAATATTAATACCATCTCCATCTCCATCCTCTCAACAACTTCACTATCCCCTGCAACCCACCACCAGCTATTTCCGCAGTCCCACTACTTATACTAATAATATTAGCAGTGGAGCTTCACTACTTTGCGCGCACACTACTGATTCAATCACCACCACTACTTTGCATACTAATTTATTGGCATTGCCAGTGCCACAGCGAGGCCGCTCATTGCCTCCTTCTTCGCTATCACTATCATCATCCTCATTAATTCGAGACCATGGGCTTCTACAGGATATGGTACCATTTCAGATGGTAAAACAGGAGGAGCAGCCCGGCCTGCCAACAAATTAAATTAAAGATATATGCATTAGTAGCTAGCTAGCTAGGACATATATTTATGTTCTGATCTGATAATCTTGATCATTATTTGTTAGTAGATTAGTGTTCATTCCTACGTTACGTTAGTTCTAACACATCCATCCATTACTATTTTGATCAAGTATATATGATCCATCCAAATGGCCTGGTCTGTAGTACGTGGTGTTTAGCATGAACCCATCAGATAGATCAGATCACAATTATATTATATATACGTACTAGTATATGTAGCTAGGCAGGCCAGGTTTTATGTAAGACAAGTGGGTAGCTACTTGAGCATGCATTATTTATCAGGCATATATATGTAGTAAGTATTATATTGTATAGTATTACTCAAAGGATGGAATGATGAGCACGCAGATTCTGGATGGATGGGCTCTTTTCATCTTTTGTATATCCACTATCCATCATTGGATGTCTTCAATTCTTATTTAGTGGCGCATTCAATTTCGGGGATCCGATCGATCAAATTGAAGATATATATGATGATATGATATGATGTAGGCCGGGTTAGGGTTTCTTTCAATCACTGTCATTTTAACAACCCATACTAGCTACCTATATATCCAGCTAGTTTTTCATACGATGCAGCATGCATATAATGTCATCAATATCATTATTTGTTTTTTTTTTTTTAATCTAATCTAATCTAAAAATATAAAAATTAATACGGAGTAATTGTACGTGAATAATGATTATATCCTTTATTTATGTCCTTTTTTTGTTACAATTTTTTTTATACATAATGCTATAAGGTAAGAGTTGTATTATATAATATTTTTGGACAAACATACCCATATCGTTATATATAACTTACGTTATTCTTTTAACTATTATTACCATGTGCATGTATCCAACATATATTTTCTTATCTTCTTCTTCAATAATAATAATAATAATATATACACATTATATATTGAAGTTATATGTTAATTATACAAATGTTAATTATTTCCTAAAATATAAATATCAAATTTATACAAATGTTTTACATTATTATTATATTATTATTATTGTTTACAGTAATATAAATATCTAGAATTTAAATAAATTTAAAATTTTAATATAAAATATTAATATTTATATTTGCGCATCACATATAGAAAATATTAGTATATATATACAAATTTATTTAATTACCGGATTTTAATTATTATATTATAAATTATAATTAAAGGGAAGTGCATATAGGATTTGATGCATATAAGTTAGCTATCATCATATATATCCTAGAATGGGTGCATTGTATGTATCTTAAATGCAATAATATAATGATCCAACTAACAAATGAACAAAAGGAATCAGCTAGAATGCAACAAAGCTAATTAAGTGGAGTATATATACATATAACAACTCAAATATTCTTTTCAGAACGACCACACTAATTATATTGCAAATACATACCCAGGCCAAATATCAAAATATATATTCATCCCACACTCCAGTTCCAGTATTTAGCTGCAAAATAAAGGATACTATACACCAATATATATATATATATATATATAATTCCATCCATCCATCCATCGATCAACTATCAACCATTACATATACTCTTCAATTCCTTGCAACTATTCCAATATAATATGAAAGTCCATTTTGAAAATAGCGCTAATTAATTATATATAGTATAACAAACAATATAATGATTAGGGCAGGCCGCCGGTAACGAGGTGGAGTTCGCAAATGGATCGGAAGGCCCAAAAGTGAAAAGCTAGCTAGCTAGGTAGCTACTCGATCATAACACCACACGCAAAATGGCCATCCAATTGTACTCTGATCTCCGATCCCAAGTTTTTTTAAAAACTGTAATTAAATGCATGATAATAAAAGTTGATAATTAGGTAGGTAGCGGCGTACGTACATAGTACATACATACCTAGGCGCCTTCAGTTCCAGGCCTCAAGAGCTTTACCCACCAAGAACGAAATGGAAGCGTCAAGGCATGCATATTGCACTTGCTCCTCGCTCAGACTCTTAGCCTCCCAATCGCTCATACCCACCACTTGCGCCTTTTTTATTCCGGCCATCCCCAGAATATTCTCAGCCAATACCTCCATTGATAACTTTCCCTGATGAAGATTTGTGCAGCATATTCCTTTGTCGCGAGCCACGTGGACCAGATCCACCACCTCGCCCACAGTAAGCCCCAGCTTTGACCTCTCCACCTTTGCCAAATCCATCGGGTTGTTCACACCAACCCGCGTTATGTCCGGATCCTCCAGAAGGCGGCGGAGAGCCCTGGGAGCGCGGGCAGCATGAGCTAACTGAAAGATAAGGCATTCACGCCCCACCGCCAGCTGGAGGGTGGCGGCAGGGTTGTAGATGGGGGTCCACTGGACCCCTAGTCCAACGATCAGCTTCCTGCTGCGGAGGAGGTAGGCGTGTCTACGCCGCATTCTGAAGATCCAGTCCCGGACAACGCCAGGGGTGGCGGTTACGGTAGCGCGGAAGCGATAGTTGTAGCAGTAGACATTAAACATCTTGTAGCTGTAGGGTTTTGGAGAATAGGCAGGCTTGATTTGCACTTGAGAATCCATGGCGCATGCAGCTATCCTTAGTGGATGATATGATCGATAATAGAGAGTGAAAAAGTGAATAGTATGCGATTTGATCTGGTGGTGTTTAGAGAGAGAGAGAGAGAGAGAATTGAATTGAAGCTGGTATAGACACAACAGAAGAGCAATAAGAGTGTAGGCGGGCAGGGGAAACGCTATTGGCGGTGGGCGGGTATGTAGTGGATGTAGCTAGCTGTGCTGCACGTAAAGATCCTCATCGTTGCTTCTTACACGCGGCGAAATCGTCGTACGTGCACCTGCATTCAGTAATATAATCACGTCTCTCGATCCTCAATAGGAATAGGCTGTTAGCCTGCATTTGCTCTTAACATAACACTAATTTAATTTGCCTCCATATCATATCCATTCACATTATTTTATTTTTTTAATTAAAAGATAGCTGCAGGTTAACAAATCATTTGTTATTTTAGATTTAAAATATATATATATATATATATATATATATATATATATATATATATATATATATATATATATATATAAATTAGTCAATAACAATTACCCGATTGTATAAAAAAATTGGCTAAAAATTCTCAGTCAAAAATTAAAGTGAAGTGCATAGTGCATGATGGCATATAGTAGAAATGAACAAAAGGAATTCGAATCAGAATTAGAATGGCAACAAATGTAGTCAGTAGCAGTAGCTGCAAATTATAGGAAATGCATAGGAGAATTTCAAACAATATCATCTACCCATTCCATATACTGTTGCTTCGTTTTTTTTTTTTTTTTTAATTGCTTACAACTACTATATATTCCAATATAATATAACAATACTTTTTGACATAAAAAATGAGTACGACATGTACTTCCAATAATATACTCTCAACTTGTACTTCTTCAAATTTAATTGGAGGAAGAAAAAGATAAATAGATAAACATCATGTCCCCTATATAATTAAGCAATCAAAATATGCCAAATGAAGTACAAAATGGGAGTATATGTAGAATTAGTCTTTTGACCATCCATTTGAATTTCTTCTATTACTGCGACTCTCAAAAATTCAACCCAAAAAAAAAAAAAAAGTAATTAAATATAATGCATGATATATGATAATAAAAGTTAAAAATTAGCTAGGGATGCCATTCCCTAGGCCCCCTAGCCCCCTAGAGCTTTAGCCATCAAGAATGAAAGGGAAGAGTCAAGGCATGCATATTCAACTTGATCTCCACTCAGTGTATCGGCTTCCCAATTGCTTCTCCCAACGTCTTCCTCCTTCTTGATGCCTTGCATACCCAGAATGTCTTCAACCAATCCCTCCATTGATAGGTGGTGATGAGATCTATTACATATTCCCTGATTGCGTGCGACGCGGGCCAGATCCACCACCCCGCCCACACAAAGCCCATGCTTTGTGCTCTCCAGCATTGCCACGTCCCTGTGGTTGTTTACACCAACCCGCGTTATTTCCGGGTCCTCCAGGAGACGGCGGAGAGACCTTGGAGCCCGGGGAGCACGGCTTAGCTGAAAGATGAGGCATTGCCGCCCCACTGAGAGCTGGAGGGTGGCGGGGGACCTGGAAGAAAACGCATTCCACTGGACCCCGAGTCCAACGATCAGCCCCCTGCGAAGGAGGTGCTTGGAGCGTCTTCGGCGCATCTTGAATATCCAATCCCGGACAACGCCAGGGTAGGCGGTGACGGTAGTGCGGAAGGAGTGGCGGTAGCAGTCCACCTCAAACACCTTGTACCTGTGAGGTTTCGGAGAATAAGCACGCTTGGTTCTTACATTATGAGAAACCATGGTTCATATATATTATATTATGATTATGAACTGTATCGGATAGACTAGGCGATGAGTACTGTATGTTGAGATGGACAAGTACGTATTTAAAGACACCTACAAACGTACAGATCAGAGCAATCAGCGGTGCCGTTACTCTGCGGAAACGTTATCAACGGATCGGAGGAGCGTAGTGGATGCATGCAGGCATATTGCAGCTGCCGGGATTTCAAATACGATTTAAACAAGAGATCATGACCGTTGCTTAATATCACGTCTCTCAGTTCCTGTCTTTAATTTCTCCGGTAACACCTCGCTTTATTGAAGCACAAATATTAACCACGTAATAACCCTATGTTAACGACTCTTCCATTTCCTTAATCATAGTTGCTTTTACTACTTACGATAGTTACGACTTGCATAGTGGTCAACTGGTCAATGCGCGCGTACAATTGCTTACAACGAAACAAATGTACAAAATTGTGATTTAAAATTAATCATGACACTGCTTCACGAATTTTAATTCTAGGAATTACTCCACTTATTATATAAAACTGAATACTAATTTAAAATAAATAAATCATTAGTTATAATAAATATTGTGATTTTTATATGTGAAATTATGGTACAGTACTATTTTGGGTAAAATTAATTTTACTAATGATACATATTCTAATATTTATAATTTAAAATTGTAATATTTACATATTTGTAATTTTAATATAAATATTGTAATATTTATACGTAAAATGTTACTTATGACGGAAATGAGTAATTTCATTTTTATATGTCTTTTTTTTTTAAAAAAAATCTCATTTTGGTCCTATTATTATTGTGACATAACCATTTTTTGTCTTCCGCAACAGAACTGTTAAATGACATTAAATATACAAGCATTTTGGTCTATGCAATTCTATGTGTTAAGTTTTTTTTTTTTTTTTTTTTTTTTCTCATTTTGGTCGTTAATTTATGTGTCATTTCATTTTTAGTCATTTTTTTTCCAAAACATTTATGTTGGTCCTAATATTATTGTGGCATCATCATTTTTTGTCATCTATTAACAAATATGTTTAAATGACATTATTAGTCATTCAAAATCCTTTTTTTTTTTTGGTAATCGAACCACAAGTCTTGTGAGTTTTTATAAGTAGATTTATGTGCTAGACTTATGGTTTGTCATGAGATAAACTTGTTATTTTTTTAATTGTATTTTTTTAGTGGTTAATAACATCATTTTATTAGTGTCATTTAAACATATTTGCTGACGGATGATAAAAAATTGTCATGCCACAACAATGTTTGAACCATCAGGAATCTTTTGAAGAAAAAAAAAAAGGACTTAAAATGAAACGACAAATATAAATCTAAGACTATTTTTTTTATTTAAAAAAAAAGAGAGAGAAAATGACAACACTTAGAATTGGATAAAAAAATGCCCTTATATTAAAGTCATTTAAATGATTTTGTTGACAGAAAATAAAAAATTGTCATTCCATAATAATACTAGGACCGGGGTAATGTTTTGAAAAAACAAAAGAAACTAAAATTGGATTAGAAACTATAAATTTATAACAAAAAATAGAATTAACTCGAAATAAATTGTAATACTTATTTTGAAGAAAATTTAATACCAATTTGAATTAAAAATACATCATTATTACTTAAAATATATATTGTAATACTGCCCGCATGGGAAACTTAATTGGTTATAGGGGTGAAGTTTGGAAAAAATGATAGGGATCAAGTCTCAGCAGCGATTGTGTGAGAGCAACCTCTCCAAGTGAGGGCTCCTCGTGCGCATTGAAAAACAAAACAAAAAAAAAAACAAAAAAAAAACTCAGTCGAATTTGAGATCTACTTAACACCTTCGGTGGGGGCATTTATACCTACATACTCAGTCTACAAAAAAAGGAAACAATATTCCTAAAATATCTATGACATCTCTCCCTTTTCTAAACTATAAAATCACTTCTTAAAATTCAATAGAAAAGCGTTACAAATTAAGCAACTAGTTTTCTAAATTGTTTTAAGTATGATTTTCCAAATCTCGTAGTAAGAAAATTTTGAATTTTTTTAGAAATTTAAAATGTGAAAATTATTCTCACGTTTGGTAAAAATATTAATTTTGAAAAATTTATATAGAAAAAGAATTACATTTCATGATATCAAGAAAAGTAAATCCTATATGGTTCAGCTGTGTTACAATGATTTACATCTTCGCAGATGCTTTGTGGGATCGGGTGTGGGCCATTAGGATTAGGGATTCAACTTTTTCGGAAGAAGAAAAGTAAATCCCACAGGAAGGGCGGGGGGGGGGGGGGGGGGGGGGGGGAGATTCTATTTCGTGGCCTACTGCCAACTTTATTTGTCATGCTCTGTCGGGCCGGGGTGTGGGGAGCCCCTAGGGTTGGGGTTCAGCCTTTTGGAAGAATGTTAAAAATCTCTTATATAGCAAAGATATATTATAGATTTTAAAAATATTTATGGGAAGGTTTAACGAACCAAACGTTTTAATTAATTTTCAGGTAATTTAATTGTTATGTTTCCAAAGTAACACCAAACATACTAATTAATTTTTTCAATAAAATTATTCTCATAAAATATATTCCTTCGAAACATTTTTTTTGAGAATTTAATTGATGTGAAAGTACCAAACACTCGCTTATAGTAATCTTAGTACATGTACAATTTTTGTATAAAGAGCGCTAGCTCGGGCTTGGGGTATTTTATGAAATTTTGTAAAAAAAAGAGGGTTTTTTTTAAAAAAAAAAAAAAAATTTGGGTTTGTTGAGTTGATGGATCGATCTTTCAAGGATGTATAGGTTGAAGAGGATGAAGTAGTATCCCCTTTCTTGTTTTCAATTATGGTTTTATAGTAGACAAGTAATACTGCATATGGTAATTGCGTTTTCGTATGAGGATTGTGTATTTATGGAAAAGTGTAATATTTAATGGGATGACGAAGAGATTTAGGAAATATGGGATGACGAAGAGATTTAGGAAATATAAAAATATTTAGGTAGTGATAAAAAATTTAGGAAATATAGCAATATTTAGGTAATCTGATGTGTGATTTTAGAAGATTCTTTGGTTGTCATGAATTGGAATACTTTTCCAATAATGAAATTCAGCCCCCACCCCCCTCTCCACCAAGAATTGGAATTCAACTGCAGAAAAGGTGGAGAAAAAAAGAAACTGACCCATTTTTGCTCTTGATTATTATTATTACGGAATATTGCACAAATACATTTTAATCTTTATATCACTTTTTTCAATCTATTTTCCATAATTTTATTCTTTCCAACCAACCAATATAATTTAAATTACTACTTTATTCTCACATTATTCTTTTTCACAAAATTCCAATTCCTTTCCTCCTAAATTAATTCCCTCCGCCAACCAAACCTCTTGTTGAGGAAGAAAATGATATTAATGTCAATTGAATAATTTGCTGCAGTATATAAATGAATTAATACGAACGAAAATAAAGACAAGCATTCAAGTATTTGAAAACTAAAAAAGGAAAATGTGCGTTTTTTTTTTTTTCCACTTTATGTGGTTACCTCTTAAAATCTGTCATTGATATTACTCAATGAAATGGTCTACAAAATAACAGAATAGAACAAATAATTTAGCTTTTTCAACTTATGTAATACAACAATATTGTAAAAAAATGAAGAGTTTTTTTTTTTTTTGAATGCTATTCACTCTATTACATTGTATTATGTAAATTTAATGAACAAGAACACCTCCTCCACTGAGGCTCAATCTCATAACCTCTTACATGAGAGAGGTCATTACATGTCATCTGAGCACAAGGTGCTGGTTAAAAAAAATGAAGTTAACTAATTTGGTGGTAAGATGTGGTTGGATAGGCGGCGGCAGAGGCAGAGGCGGAGGCGGAGGCGGAGGTAGGGTGCGGTGCCTTGTGAATTAAGCGGAGGAGAAAGGCGGAACGCATAGGATCCCAAGCAAGTAAAATATGGTCGTAGGGGCCTAATCCAAGTTCTGAAAACAAATCCATGCAGCACAGGGCGTAATCCTGATTACCCAAAATTTGAAAATGAACCCCTTTGCTGTATTTCTTTGGTCTAAAGCGATTGGTAACGTCCCAAATCACGACGTTAACCTTCTCTCCCTTAACTGCCACGCAATTGCTCATGCCAAGTGTCCAGTGTTGAAACACGTGTCGGAACGCCTGCTCGAACGGTACCACGACTCGTCCCATCACCACCTCCTCGCGGCTGAGAACCCTCCTAATTTCCCCCGCCGCCGCCGCCGCTCCGCCGTTAACGTCTCGGATCTCCACCACGCGTCGCTTCACTTGCCACGGAATATTTCTAGCTTTGCATGCCTCTTCTTGAGCACGGCTGGGAATGAACTTGTAGTAAAACGTCTTCTTCATCATCACTAAGCTAAGCTGCTAATTGCATATAATATAATTTTCAGCTTTGGTTGATATATATATATATATATATATATATATATATATATATATATATATATGGATGGTAAAATGGCAGGCCGGGCTTTACGTAATATGAATTTATAACTTAATCCAGGCCCCGGCTAGCTAGATTCCAAGCTGTACTGTTTGATTGATTTGGAGATACACTCAAAGCACATAGCTGGCCTAGCTCGATCGCCTCCCATATATGGGTTAAAGATTATGGCAAATATGTTATTCACACAACAAATCGCATTGGATTACCAAACTGAAAAACCGATTATGCATTGCATTTATTATCAATTCTTCTATACAGCTATATGTTCATAATTTCATACCAATTTTGATTCGAATAAGGTATAATTAAGTATATATATTCTCATTAATAATGTGAATTGTGGTAATTACAATTTTGCAGAAAAAATCAATTACTTAAAAAGTTTTATGTATGCATTTTACACGTATTAGGTGACTATTATAATATTTTATCTGACGTATTGTCGCGTCAAAAGATTGATATTTATCTTGAATTACGAGAATAAATATGAACAAATACATACTGGTTGGTATACAGGACATGTTTCGTGTTTTCTTTTATATAATTTTTTAACACTAATTACGGTTACGTTGTAACATGAAATTTTATCATCATTATTTGTTACTGGATTCACAAGATTTAAACACATTTCAAGGAAGACCTCTCACAGAATGACTTATATGCATTTTAAATTCCAGTATATAAAATGTGACCTCTGCTTGTATTTAATTAACATATCATCAAATAGTAAATTACAAATATGCTGCCTCACTGCCTGTGTGCTTTGCGTGCTGTCATGTTTTATCTTCTTCTTTTTTTCCTTTAATTTATAATATGACTTAGGAAGACATTGTTGATACTTTGTAAACATTGTTTTATAATACTTAAATTTATAATATGTTATTTGTGTCTAAGTTCTAACAAAATAATAATAATAATAATAATAATAACATTAAATTTTCCTTATTGAAGGTATTAGATCGAAAAAGCTAAACAATTGTTATAAATTAATATATATTTTTGTAGTTGTGTCGTCTCACCGAACAGAACGGACATCATGTAAAACGGGAGGAGATGAGAGGGTTTTTCCTGCTCTTTTAGCGGTTTAGACGTACAGACAGACGACATTAATTCCCGGCCTTTAATTTGCCCTAAAATTAAATTAAAGGCTCAAAGCCTTTTTGAGTGTATTTTTGTAGTATCTAAATTATATTAATCAAAACTCCGATCCATTTGTATAACCGAAAACAGTACAGCTGGTATTTGATACCATATGCGTGCATAAGCGTAATGCATTCTTTGAAAATTAAAAGTTTGATAAAGAAGAAGAAAAATTAAAAGCAATTCTGATCTTGAATTAACGATATATATGCGGCATAACATACATTATTAGATTACTATATGTATGGTACATTATATATATATATATATATATATATATATATATATATATATATATATATATATATATATATATATATATATATATATATTTCAGAAATGATGATTATATATAGTAATGATGAGGAGATCGAGCGGCAATTATATTAGCTAGCATTACTACATACATATATATATATATATATATATATATATATATATATATATATATATTGTCGTTTTAATTAAAGTAAAATCTTGATAATAGCTGTGGCCACATCGGAGAGATCATGCACCTCTGTGTTGAGCGCAGTGAGTGGGGATTGAGCTTTCTGAAAACCTAGCTCACACTGCTGCGACGACCCAGATGAGGCCACCACCCCCTTTTCTGCAAATTTGGGAACCCCTTTAGTCAGTGCCTCGTAAGCTTCCGGGATAGACGCTGTGAGAATGACCTTGTAATCGAAGGCGCATTGTTCTAACGCTGTTTTTAGATCCTCTCTGGTTTTCTGCAGATTGTTGATCATAATTGCGGTTTCCTGGGACTTGGCCTTGATGGCGTCAACCATTATGATTGCTAGCGTCGTGATGTCGTCTGCTCCCTGGGCCCGAGGGTCCGACGATACAACTTTCACGCACAGCTCGTAATTTGGTGTTCTCCTGCAGGTGCTTTCAACCAAATCGCTGCCGCCATTTATTATAGGACTAGTTGTCAAGATTAACAACATCATCGCCAAAACCAAATTTCTCATCATTTTGATCTTTAATTTTGTTTTGAAATTGTGCGTGGTATGTAGCGGTACGTGATGGAGTCGGAAAAATAGGTGGGTGTTTCGATTCGAATAGTAGTGCTAATATATAGGCAGCTCAGCACATGGTTTTTGCATGCCGAATTTAAGGAATAATATAATTCAATTCGAACTAACATATATAATTCAATTGTTTGGCACCCCTAATAGCTTGCTTGCAAACAGTTCATTTCATTTGAGTGGGGAACTCCGTTCCTATTATGACGACGACGTTTGCTGAGTTGTTAATTTGTTATACCACCAACTAACTAAGGTGGACCCTCATCCTAAATCACCTATGAATTGTATATTTTTGTATTAAAATTGTAAATTTTTAGAATATAAATTGTGTTTCAAAGTCAAAACACATAACAACGCTAAAAGGGAATACATGGTCATCAAATTCCTAATATTCTGTGACTGCAGTATTTAGAAACAATTTGTAAATACAAAACAAGATAATCAATTGCATATATGTTAACATTGTATGTTCATAGTATACAAATTATGAATTTTTAAAAGTAAATTGTGAACATTTGAATTTGGCCCACCTTACAAGCTGGACCTCAAGTGGACACGGGCAGTGGCGGAGCCACAATGGGGGCAATGGGGGCCACTGCCCCCCCTCAACCCTCTCTACTAATATATAAGTACATAGAAAAATCACTAAAGTGTTTAGTAGATCAATGGGTTGAATCTTGAGTATGAAGATGGAGTGTCCAAGGTTAAAAACTCACTTGTAGCATTTATATGTTTTAGCTTCTTGTCTAAGCAAATTCTTCAAACAAAATTGTGGAAGATGCAATTTTTTCTTAGAAGTGAGATCTCAAGTTTAAGTACGCCCCCACTCACATTATTTTCTGGCTCCGCCACTGGACACGGGTCCACAAAATAAGTTGCAACGTTTATTTACTTGGGCCGTTAAAGGAGGATTCATAAATTAAATTAATACTACTAAGGGAAACGGCAAATTATGCTGTGCATCCGTATGCACCATGCATGGTGCATATGGATGCAAAAACGACGTTGTTTTAATAAAACGCGCGTCTCCCCTAAAAAAAAAAATCAGGTTCGATTCCCAACAACAATATATGAACTAAAATTCCATAATCGATGAACTATAATTCCATAATTTAATCTATGAACTAAAAATTCCAGAACGAATGAACTAAAATTCCATAATCTATAAACTAAAATTTCAGAATAGATGAACTACAATTCCATAATCGATGAACTATAATTCCATAATCAATGAACTACAATTCCATAATCAATGAACTATAATTCCATAATCTATGAACTAAAATTCCAGAATGAATGAACAATATAATGTTGTTGCTGGGAATCGAACCTGAAGTTTTTTAAAAGGAGAGACGCGCGTTTTTTAATAAAACGACGTCTTTTGGCATCCGTATGCACCATGCATGGTGCATACGGATGCACAGCATAACTATCCAAGGGAAACATATTGATGCGCGGCCCAATTAAGGGTAGGCTTTCTAAGCCAGGCCTGCTCATCCAAATACAGCAAATTATATCGTACGCCCTAAGGGGGCGTTTGGTTCAGGTTATATAACATAACCAAGGGAATGTGACATTCCAAAGCTCACATTCCTATGTTTGGTTCACATTATCTCAGGGAATCTAACATTCCCCAGGAATGTCACATTCCCTCCACATAGGATTTTGAAGGGAATGTGATTCCCTTCAATTTATAAGGTTATGTAAGATAACCTTGGTTATTTTAGTTTATCACACACACACACACACACACACACACACACACACACACACACACACACACACACACACACATATATATATATATATATATATATATATATATATATATATATATATATATATATAATTATTTTTGTAATTATATATTTTTTATTTTAGGTTAGCATATAAAAAAAATTTTGTTTCTCAAGTTCAATATTTTAGTTAATATTTTAAAATCATGTAATTATATATGATACTGTTTATTTATTTATTTTAATTTTTAAATTTATTAAAATATATAAAAATATGTTAAGGATATTATAGTGTGTGAATAAAAGATAACCCTAAACCAAACATGATTATATTACATACCCCAATTTTAACCAAACACAGGAATCTAACATTCCCGGTAATCTAACATTCCCAGCAATCTAACATTCCCTAAGGTAATCTGACATTCCGTGAACCAAACGACCCCTAAGAGTTTATGTATATTATGTTAACAGTTTATGTATACTATATTAAAATTATGTGTATTATTTTAAAAATTTATGTGTATTTTACTATACAATTATGTACATACGAAACAAGGAATTTTTATGGAGGCACAATATAGCAATTGGTCAAAATACTCTCAGCACACCCATCGTAATTATATCCAAAATCCGTAACATAACGAATCCGTTCAAAGGATGATATTATAGACTAGAGTTCATCGTCGATTTTACATTGTGGATTCTGGATTAAAATAACATTATAAAGCTAGTTATGCTCGAAAAGAAAAAAGGTGAGTCTTAATTAGGTTGAATGAAAAATGAGATTCAGAACATACATTATTGTTATTATATGTAGGAAATGATTATAGTAATAATGTGATGATCTGAGGGCCGGTAGTAATATTTAATTTGTAGGTTTGCCTTGCTAGCTACAGTAAATTCCTTATAACATCTCTGGTCACATCAGCGAGTTCGCCCACAAGTTTGTTAAGATGAGTGAGTGGAGATTTGTGTCCGGCAAAATGATTCTCACACCCAATCGTGGTGAAAGGCAATTTGGTCATTGCCTCCTCTGCGAATTTGGGATCCCCTAATATCACTCCATCATAAGCTACCTTGATTAACGTCTTCAGAATGACGACCTCGTAATCCCAGGCGCATTGTTCTAAAGGAACTTTTAAATCCGGATGGCTTTTTAAGAGACGTTTTATCAACTTATCAGTTACCTTTGACTTGGCTTTCACGGTGTCAATCATGATGATTGCTAGCGTCCGCGTGTCTGCTTCTGGGGCTCGAGGGTCTGCCCATACATACTCCATGCACAGCTCGTAATTTTCTGTTGTCTTGCATATTTTTTTAACGAATTTTCTGTCACCATTTATGGGGGTTGTCAACATCATCAACAATATCACCACGCAAATCAAATTCCTCATTTTTTCTTTTTAAAAACTGATGTTTTGTGGTGATGGATTTTAATTTGATCGAGTACGTAATGATGGATGGAAAATTAAAAGAGGTGTTTCAGTGTTATATAGATAGTTGGGCTCATGGTATTAAGGGGATTAAATTGGAGTTAATTGCATGCGGCGTCTAACTAAATACATGCATTTAATTAAGGAAGGAACCCGACCTTTATGACATGTATTAATTACAACATAATTAAATGATCCATGATGCTACCTACTTACCTACCAAAAATCTTAAGCCTGTTCACACGGATCCACACTGTACTAGCGAAGTTGCGAACCAATATTAGTTAGTTGTTGATAAACATGCAGTTGTTAGTTGCAATAAGTAACTACAGAGTACTTCTGATCGAATAATTGAAAGTAATTAAGACTGGATGGTTGGGTTAATTCTATGGATTATATTGATGGTCAATAGACGATTTTTCAGGCTAGCTTTTATCGTCATTATATTGGGCCTATTGGACTATGCCCCACAATATATATGCCATCAAGTATACTACTCCGTATAAAATTGATGGAGATTTAATTTTAGTTTACTTAAGAAATTATTAGTAAAGGTAACAGCATGTTAGAAAGATAGAGGGAGCTAGCTTTATTTGCTTTTGTTTTTGTGATATATACACGACATACATATACTACTATACACACATATATGCATAAAATCATGCATATATACTAACGTACTAGTTTTGGATGGATTGGAGCTGGATTGGAGCTTCTTGATTATGGCTGCCATTTCTTTGCCCGCCTAGCTTGACGTTCACTGCGGGCATCCACCATGATAATAAGCGCAGCGCCAGTGTGGTGATGTCTCCGGTGGAGCCCCGGTCCGATCGAATTTTTACTCAGAGAGCGTATAGTAGTTTGGCATGTGTGTTTGATTGGATTCAATTTTTTTTTAGTATGATTTAATCTATGTGCATTGTAATCCAAAAACTTTAATTAGATCCGACCCATCTTAAAATATAATCATACCTGCATATTAAATCATTGCGTTTTATTTTTCCAGAAATGTAAGGGTGGTATGAACTTAATAAAGAAAAAAAAGAAAGAAGAAAGAGGGGAGAGGGAGGGGCCCGCTCGTGGTTTGGGAGCAAAATTGGACGGATACACTTTCTTATATATCTATCTTAGGTAGCAGAAAAAGAAGAAAAGCGGTATACGCACCATATGGCCTTGCCAGCTGGCCTGTTGGCTTAATTGCTTTTACGAGTTGATGATGATTTCGTGAAACTTGCGGCAGCGATGCATTGTATGTATTTTATATCTATCGTCCCTCCCCAATCACGCATGGACGTATATACATCCACCGTACGTCTTCATCCTTAATTATTTGCCATTTCTATTTCTGGCTTTAAATTGCTTCTCTCTTTCGATCATCTTTCTTACGATGAAGAAGCATGCATGTGACGATTCCAATGAATCTAACGTACGGGTAACATTCCAATGTTTAGTTAGATAGTATAAGGTGGAGATAATAAGAATATTTCAATGGGCGACAATGAATTGAGACATTCTCAAATTAGATTAGTTTAATAAAACCTCCAATCATTTGAGTAGATGTCAATTGCATCTCTATATATTTGACAATACTTATATATATTTATTTTAATGTGGGGCATGAAAATATCTTAGCTTCTCCATTAAACAATTCAAAATTATTATTCTAAGATTAGCAGCTTAATTTATTTTAATGTGGGACATGAAAATATCTTAGCTTCTCCATTAAACAAAATTATTATTCTAAGATTAGCAGCTTATTAATTACTCTGATCTATTCCAAATTAACTTATATTATATCAATTAACTTGAAAGCATATAACTATATATAAATGATGAAGAATACAATTATATATTATGCTAATTAAACTAGCTAGGAGATTGAACAATTAAAATTGTTTTTACTTAATTAACAACCGTAACTTATTACATAATTACCTAGCTAAGCTAGATTCATCTCACACAAAAATATAAATTATACCGATCGATCCCATCCCTAGCAGGCTGCAGGCTGCAGGCGGTATTTATACTATATATAGTTGCACGTACTGCACATTTATATATATAAAAAATAAAATGGATCGAGGATGGAGGATATGATGATATATTATTTCATAACAGCATCTTGATGATAGAGGCGGCGACAGCAGAGAGTTGGATTACATCCTTGTTAATCTCATCGATGCCGGATCCCGAGTATTCCATTTCTTGATTCTGCGGCAGCTTAAACGCAGCCTCGCAGCTCTCGGCCTCCAGCGCCGCATCCGCCATCCCATCCTCGGCGAACTTAGGGACTCCTCTCTTGAGAGCCGCCTCTGCTTCCGGCACGTCCGCATGCACCACGGCGTAGTAGTAGATGTAACACTGGCTGAGGGGAAGCCTCCACTCCACGGGCTTCGACTTTTCAAGCTCCCGAATCGTTTCTATCATCTCCTCAGCCTTGGCCCTCACGGCGTCCACCATCACAAGCCCCAGAGTCTCGACGTTCACCGCGTTGGAGCTGGTTCGGGGGTCGGACGCCAGGACGGAGACGCAGAGTGCGTAGTTGGGGGTGGTGTTGCAAGCGATGTTGATCAGGCCGCCGCCGCTGCTACTACCATCATCATTGCCAACTTTTCCCCCATTTAGGACAGAGGAAATAAGCATCATCGCTGTGAATAAACTCTTCATCTTGCACTCAAATTATATTTGGTGTAGAGATCAGATCGATGAGAGCCGATCCAATTAAGAAGAATGAAGAAGCTAAAATGAATTGAATTGAAGCCTTATGGCCTTTGAATAATATTTTAGCTAGCTAGCTAGGTTGCTGTATAGACTAGAGCGCTTCTTAATTGCATTGCCACTTGCCAGCCCTCTGTCTCTATATATACACATGGATGATATGATGATGAGATGTGAATTCATGGTTGGTACATATTTACCATACCATTAATTAATCATAAAAACAGATTAAATTAAAGTTGTTTCTGTGACTCTGTTGGCTATCTTAACTAATAATAATATATATATATATATTCACCTACTACTATTCATCATGATATTTTTTGCTACCTTAGCTTGTTTGTTGCTATATCTCCATCAATATTTTTAAATTTTTTTCTCTTGACAATTTTGAAGTGTTATTATCCTTTCTTTCCTTTCCTTTCACGATATAATATAATGTAATTGTTGACTTAGTTTATTTACATTCATTGTAACAGAGTCAATAATATTCAAAAAATAAATGTATACTAAAATTAGAGACAAGATATAGTGTGCCAATTTCTTATTACTCAAATATATATATAATAAATGGTATGGGTACTATATAATCCATAGTTCCATATCTCTAGTTTTAGACATTCAAAGCAGGGTTGGTTGATCATCCAAAGATCAACCTTTAAAACATAGCCAATTTAATTTGTTGTTATAGTTTTATATGGTGAGACTCGATCCTTAGTATCTTATGACAAATTTAACTCTGCAACTAGTTGAGTTGTCCATGCGGGCATAGTCTGCATTATCTATTTTGCTCAATAGTTCATGACCTTTTTAAAAAAAAAATAAAAAAATACATACATCACTAATTGATTTCGATAGAATTTTTTGCTTTTTAAAATATAAGATAAGATTATAAGAGTATTATATAATACCGCATGTCATTTTCAATAAACAGTCGAATTGTTGATTTTTAAAAATTTTATTATAATAATAATAATTATTAAAATTATTATTAAAGGTGGAATAGCTATTTAGATGGTATCCAACTATGGTGCGGAGAATAAAATAGTGTTATATTGGTAGATATTTATACTCGAAATGATGTTTTTTTGGCTTGCATGTGTGTAAACCAACAAAAACAAGGTGAAATGTCAAGTCTAGTCATTCTTTTTATTTTTTTGGTGTGTCTATCATTCTTTTTAAAATGACAATTAATCTGTATGATTTATTAATATTCTCTTCGTTTTATTTTATTATTTTATGTGTCGAGTTTGACTAACGAGATTTAACAGAATATTTATAATTTAATTCTTTTATAATATTAAATTTAAAATTAATAAGTAAATTTTATATATTTAAAAATTATATTAAGATTACTATTAAACACAAAAGAAAATTAAATTTAAAAATTGTAAAAAATGCTAATGAAAATAAAGAATTAATTTGACTAATAAATAATAAATATGACAAATAAAATGAGGCAAATAGAGTATCAATTAAAGATTACATAGATTATAGTAAAGCAAAGCTAGCTGCCGTATTTTATTATGAATTAATAATGCTTATTTAAAGAAAAATGGCACTGTTAAGGCCAGATATTTTTTGATTTAGAATCAACGGCGTGATTAGTGATTAATAAACCACCAGGGCACTACGGGCAGTTTCAAGGATAAAAATGGCATCTTTTCTTATTTTTCTCTGGTTTAGGTGTCGTGTCTGTCTTGATTGGTTCGGCATGAAAGCTACATGCCTACACTTTCATATTTTTGGAAAATAACTTATTAGCCAAATCTAGTTTATTTGATCAATTTTAATTTGTTTGATTTGTCAAATAATTAGTATGAGTGTTTGATAAATATCTTTTTGATTTAATTTATTGATGTCAATAAGTTAAAAATAAAAAATTATTTTGATTACTTTATATCAATTTATTGCATTTTCGTTAAGCGTTGTGTTTCTTAATGTTTTGCAAACACGTTCACTAACGCTTAATAACCAAATACATGCACATGTTCATTATCACAATTCATTTATGAACAAAAAATAATCTATATTCACAAATAATAATCAAACAAACAAACAACTATATACATACCTCTCTCTCTCTCTCTCTCTCTCTCTCTCTATATATATATATATATATATATATATATATATATATATATATATATATATATTTCGAATTTGTTCATGAACATTATTAAATGAACTTGTTCACGAGCTCTTAACAAACGAGGTTATATAACTGTTTAGACTCTGTTCGTTTATAAATCAAATTCTAAAATTTATTTATTTATGTCCTACCTTAATAAATAAATATAAATAATGCTTACCGAATAAAAAAAAAAAAAAAAAAAAGAGTAATTTACCAAAAACTTTGTTCGTTAACGCCCCTAAATGAGATTAGATGGTACATATGCATGCGGCGGCAAGCATCAAAAGTCAAAACTCACAAGTCACAACCCTTTAAAATTTTGTGGCACGCAGTCACTTTCTTCTTTTTAATGTTTCAGCTAAAGGGAAACACGTACACGAGTATTTACAAGACCGCATGAAATGAAATTTTACAATTAACCAAATCCATGTTTGTTTTGTCAGTCATGGATGTGTTGTACGTGTTTTGGGTTCAAGAACAAAGCTACTCTTCCTCCGATTATCCGCTCTGTTTTCTGTTGTGTTTCTCTTAAATGGGTTAAACAAAGCTAGCTGTACAGCCCCCTGCGAATCATCAACTTTTCTTGTTTTCTTTCATTCTTTGTGTGCTTCTTCTGCGTGTATATATATATATATATATATATATATATATATATATATATATATATGAGAGAGAGAGAGAGAGAGCCTAAGCCCCCTCTGCACCATTATTTGCACCCAAATATCCTCCTCCTCCTCCTCCTCCATCAATATGTTGCCCCTTCTGTTTCATGGCCTTTGCAGATATTTCTTTCCAGCTCCTGTATCCACTGCAGCAGCTGCTGCTATTGCTATACTCTGCCTTCTTGGGCAGTTGGGAAGATCTCACTATCGATAACTTCATTCTTCCAGTAGACCCTTGATATATGTTGCTTATGTTTTTCCGGAAATCCTCCTCAACTGACTCTATGTCGATGAAGTTATTCCTTCCAGGTTGTAATCCCCAATAGAACACCACGTTTACTTCTGAATCATCAATGTCAATGTATTCTGTCGGGTTGGGATCACAAAAGCCCTGTAATTCCTCCAGCTGCACCCAACAACTCTTTCATTTATTTCATAATAATAATGCCACTTTATAGTTACATCTTTTATGTCCTCCACACATACCTTAACCAGAAGCCAGCGGAAGCGAGACTTGACACAGCCAACCCAGTTACCTAGTCCATCTTTGTCAGAAGCTGAAAGGAATATTTTGAGTAGTTGTCCGTACTTCTTTGCATAAGGAAAAGGTTCAAACAGGATAGTCCAATCAAAAGCTGGACTCAACATGTCCTGTAACAAGTATCCATTATTATTATTAAACAAAAACAGGATAGAGTAAGAGTATAGCAACATAGCAATTACAATGTACTCAGTCTCACACAACATAGCAATGATTCATACCTTTGTCAAAACATGTCCCCTGAGAAACTCTGTTCGGATTTTCTGGAATGTACTTCTCGTGATGTTAGAATGGCAGAAATCACATTCGCTACCTGGCAACTGGATAGGCAGAAAGCCAAGCTTTTCGCTGGGAATGAATGAGCGTGTCAACCCATCGTGGAGAACTACTGGAGTTGGACAAGGCCAAAAGGCAAATGTCTTGAAGAATATAGAAACGAGGGTACTCAAGCTTGCTGCTGGATGCTTTTGACAAATGAATGCTGAAAGGACTGCTAAATGAATCCCTCCAAAAAATCCAACCAACTGAAGATAATGCAATGCAATGCAATGTTAGACTTGACCAAGACACAAAATGGAAAACCAGTATGATATGCAGACTGTAACAAAGCAGTAAAACATGAAGAAACAATCCTTCCTTACATTTCCATACAATCCTCGTCTCTTTGCCCATAATTTAATGCAGCGTAGCAGTGTTTGGAAAAGCTGTTAAACATCAAGTTGAGAAATAAGAGATGTGAAAATAAACAGCAGATTCGGCTTATGGCATCCCCCAAAGCAAGATTGATTGATGCTACCAACTTATGATTGCCATAATTTAAAATATTTTCAAGCAATCAATTTTCTGAAAGTTGAAATTAATATGCATATACAAGACAATTAAAGAATGCTTGGCTAGTATTTCAAAAGATTTTGGAACTCCATGTTCTAACACTAGATAAATGGTGGATTGATACAAACAAAATTGAATAATATATACTCCGTATCATATAATTCTAAGTTCTAAGAATCTAACATATCATGTTTGTTTGTATAATCATTTACCTCGATGTTTGGCAAAAGGTACATTATACTTCTATTAGCACGTATTCCGGATAAACTTTTCCAGCTGCTCTCATCAATATTCCTCATAAAGAATGGGTTGAAGACATCCACATTCTGGATAACATAAATGAGTTGGCTTAGTAAAAAACATTCAATTGTTTATTCAGCACTATGCAACTACATTAGAAATGAAATAATCTTGATCAACAGAACCCCACAGCAGCAGCCATGAGAGACTCACCTCTGGAATGGATACTACTTTAAGTTGAGCATATGGAAGATCAACGGGGATCCCATCAAATTTAAAACGCATTAAAGGAACTTTTGCATCCTTGATACATTGGATCTCTGATATTTCAGGTCTGCTTGCAAGTATGTTGTACAAAACAATGAAAAAATCTTCCTACAGTAGTCACAGTATAACACTCGTAAAAATTGTGGTACTGCAACATATGTGGATTGTGGACCCAAGAAAAATGATCAAAAGTAGATAGACATACCGCCATATTAGCAAAGCAAGGGACAACACACAATACATCAATGTCTGACTCCGAATTATGAACCTAAACAGAATGACACAAGTCAAAAGCAAAGAAATATCCAACCTTCTTGTAAAAAAATAAAAAATAAAAAATAAAAGGATGCTGTTGTTTATCAGTGAGGCTATTGAAATTTCCAATTACAAACATCAAGAAATATACTTAAGAAGTGGAAACAAAGTAAAATGGGACAGACTTACCCCAAGACCATAGGATCCATATGTCAATATTGTAGCAGAAGCACTTCTGAGGTATCTTTTAGGGAGTTGGTGTCGATAAGCTACCCTCTTAATCCATTCCATTACTATCTGTTCATATGATACCAAAAAAAATAAAAAAAATAAAAAATAAAAAATCATTCAGCTTACAGAAATTGAAGTCAACTTGGAATCACAATTAAAACAGCAAATTACAAAACTTTAAAGAGGTGACACTGCATTGCTGTGATATAAACAACATGACTATGAGAAATAACAAAAGATTACTATGTGCAGATTGTTGTTCGCAGAAAGAATTTAATGGGCATATTATATTCAAGAACCTTTTTTAGCTTGTGAATGACATTTCTCCGCCTGATTTCCTCCTCTGGTGATGGCATCAAACCCTCGTTGATCATCATCTGAAGACATTGAAACACATTTGAAAAGAAAACAGAGAATCATAAAATGGAATGGAGGGAAATCAAGAAACAAAAACCAAACCATAAACATAAACCCGCATTTTTGCATCATACATGAAAAAGTAACCAACCAACCTGATACAGAGACAATGACCTTTCCATCTCCATTCTGATGAACATATCAGGGCTGAATCCAAAGCTTAAAGGGGCAACTAGTTGAGGCAGCACGGGAGCAAGATTGATAGTCGCCAACCCAATTGGCTGCGGTCCAGGAATTACGCGTGGAACCGCAGGATTCCCAGCTCCAACACCAAGATCAATAGAATGATGATTCGCAGGTTCCCCAAATTCCATACAAAACTTGAGCCAATACTCAAGGAAAATATCTTGAATCTCAATAATGGATTTCTAAAAGAAAAAAAAAAAACAAAAACAAAAGGAAAATCTTTTGCGATTATCTTCAAAAATAATATTGACAACAGTAAAAGAAGAAATGCATCAGAAATTCAAGAATTGTAACACAGTGATGGTTCTTTGTTTAACGAATTGAAACTGCGTGGAAACAGGGGAACTCCAGGGAAGGAGATGGGTTGGGTTGGGGTTCCAAAGCTGGGGTGCCCGGAGTGACGAGGTATTTGGAATGTGGGTTGGGCGTTATTAGTGACCACGTGTCTCCCTGCACTGCCTGCCAAGTGTATGAGCTGCGCTTTTTTTGGCACTCACCGTCTCACCCTCTGCTCAATTCTCAAATGTTTCACGTGCTCATACTTACTGCCCATTTTCATTACTTACTTTAAATTATCAATTTCACAACTTTGATATATAACCTCAATTTTTTTTATAAAATTTTTGTATATATATTTATGATTTTTATACAATAGTATATAATGTCCATCTTATCTTATTATATAAGATCAATCACCTCAAATTTGTTTGTATATATTCATTAATTCTATGTAAATTGTATGTAATGTCTATCTTATTATATAAAATCAATCACCTCATTTTTATCAAATTTGCGTGTATATATTAATGAATTCTATATAAATCATATGTAATGTCCATCCTATTATATAAGATTAATCGCCTCAAATTTTATTAAATTCGTGTGTATATATTCATGAATTCTACACAAATAGTATGTAATATCCATCTAATTATATAAGATTAATTATCTCAAATTAAATTTGTGTGTATATATTCATAAAATTTGTACAAATAATATAATTTGTACAAATAATATGTAATGCACATCTTGTCTTATATATAAAAACATAATAAGTTTCAATCCAGGTTATACCCTTGTTTTATGTGTTTTTTCTGTTACCTCTTTTTTTTTTATACATTATGCTAAAAAAAAATTGTACTACACTATTTTTTGGACAAAAATATCTCTACCGTTATAACTTCTGTTATCTTTTCACATCATTATTACCATGCACATGCATACACAATACATTTTCCTACATTATTCAATGACAAGTTTGATTTTATTTAGATTTTAATTAAATGTTATCCTAGTTATATTTAGTAATTTATCATTTCTATAATTCTGACTTCAATAATATAGATATGAATTATACAATTATACCTGGGCAGCTCAATTGGTTATCGAGGTGAAAAGTTGAAAGAATGACCAGAGTCTCACCAACGGTAGTGTGGGAGCTACCTCTCAAAGTGAGGGGGGCTCCTCGTGCGCAGTAAGCCTGCCTTTAGAATAATGAATTCTACAATTATATATATATTGTTGGTTTTATGACTTTTGGACAGCCGGCAGGCCAACACTACCGTTAGAATAACGAAAATATAGGACAAATATAGGAAAAATATATGGAGAAAATATAGAAACTTTGTATTGATGAGTATTGCTGGTGAATAATGAAAGTTACCTCTCTCTTCTATGTGATGAGTCTATTTATACATATTTTGAGCTTAGAGCCCTATAAAAAATAATAATTCTAGACTGTCTCATATTGGAAGTCTTAGTTACATTGGAAATAACGAGACATAATTCTATATAGCAATCACTAATAATAAGGAGCATAAATTCTCTAAGCCTTATTGTACGTTATCAACATTAAGGTTAACATGTTAGCGGATTAGTCCATCTAACAAATTTATTCATATTTAAGTGGAGGGCAGCATATGCCATATGGGCAAGCTAAGGTCAACCAAAATCCCGGCCTGCTGCTTAGTCCAATTCATCAAGAAGAAGAAGAAGGGAGGTGAGGTGAGAAAACGCGGTGTACTGTAGGCCTATTAATTATTAATTATATTATATTATATATAAACTAAAAGAGAAGTGATATGCAACACAGGTACTAAAACTGGTGTCGGTGGTACACATCCCTAATCACTCCCACTGCTAAATTCCCTCCCATCATTTATTTAATTATTTTTAAATGATTGAAGTTGAATATATATGATATATCCGGCCCATTGTATGTACGCGTGCACTTTGTTTTACATCTAATCTACTTGCAATTAAGTTGAAAACAAAGAAATAATTGCATGTTTGGCGTTAATGGAATATATTGGAGATGAATGCACAATTTTAATGTATGCATGCACCCAATTCAATCCCTTTCCTTTTCTTCTTCTGCTACCCTGTTTTGCCTCAAATAAATTCCACATTTGAAAGTATCACAATAAGGTAATAAACGTGCTAGTACTTTTTTTTTTTTTTTTTAATGTAAAAATTTAGAATAAAAAAAGAGGATGAGTAAGAAAACGGGAAGAAGAACACACACAGTAAGTTATTTACAGCTCTGCTTCTATCTCTATCTCTCTCTGTGAGGAGTAAGAAGGAAGAGAGCAATTCTATACAGAGCAGACGGAGACATTAATTCAATTCATTCCTGGCTTTAATAGCATTCTAAATTCACCGCTCACCTGCGGGCATTTCCCTTTATTCCACACATTTTTCTCTCAGATCCAATTCACATTCATCTCCCTCCCCTTCTCTTCATCATATATATATAAATACATCATCTTGCTTCTTCTGTACTTAACAGTTTGGGGAGGAACACAAGCTCATAACCACTGCTAATGTTGATCTACGGACCCCTAACACCTGGTCAGGTTAGAATGAAATGCTACTCTACACATCTATCTGTAATCACTACTTGTATCTTAGATCTTGCACTGTTCTCACTCAAATTCATCTTTGGTTCTTGCTTACTTGCTTCATCTTTGGTTCTTGCTTGTATGATCCGGTGTTTTGTCTGACACTAGTTGCCTTGTTTTTTCTTTATTGTCGAACTAAATCAATTGCAGGTCTCATTTTTTCTTGGAATTATACCGTTATTTGCGTCATGGTTGTATTCCGAGTATTTGGAGTACAGGAAAAATAATACGGCTTCTTCCAAACTGTATGCCTACTACAACCTCTTCTTTTTCTACTTCTAAGTTAAATTGAGCTATGTAAAAGATATTCCTTCTTTCTTGGTTGATATGCCTTTAGGTATCTCATAAACCAGCTGGCTAGTATTCTTCTCACAATTTTCATGTGCAGGCATTCTGATACCAATTTGGTTGAGTTGGGAAATGAAGCAGTTAAAGAAGATGACAAAGCTGTTCTCTTGGAGGGAGGTGCTCTTCACTCATCATCTCCAAGACCTCGCACTTCATCTGTAACATCTCAACTCATCAGGTCTGGTTCCATAATTGACTGCTGTTTTCTTGGTAGGAAAATATAATATTACTACTTCTCTTCACACATTCTTCATGTCTTATCTTATGATGTCCCCAGGTTCTTCCTGATGGATGAAACATTCTTGCTTGAAAATCGGTTGATTTTGAGAGCTATGTAAGTGCATTTATTTTTACCAATTTCAAACTTCAGCACTGAAAATCAATGTGAACTATATATTGCTTATTTTATCTTCTGTTACCAATGCGCGTTTGCAGATCAGAGTTTGGCGCTCTTTTGTTCTATTTCTACATATCTGACCGGACAAATATCTTTAAAGAATCAACAAAGGTCTGTCAACAGCAACTTCTTCCTCCTCCTCCCATCCCCACCCACCCCCCCAAAAAATGAAAAGAAACAACTTTCTTTTGCTTTCCTCAAGTGGATGCTAATGTATATTGAAATGGTTTTATGTGTTTGTAACCAACACTTTTATTTGTCTATGCAGAGTTATAATCGGGATCTTTTCCTGTTCCTCTACTTCCTGCTCATCATTGTCTCTGGAATTACTTCATTTAAGATCCACCATGATAAATCCCCTCTCTCAGGAAAATCCATAATGTATTTAAACAGGCATCAGACAGAGGAGTGGAAAGGTTGGATGCAGGTAAAATCTTTGCCATATGCGCATCCATTAATTCTTCTGGTCAAGTGACATCTTTGAATGGTTGAGACAAGCCATTCTTATATCATCTAAGTTTCTTTCGGTCTTTCCTGTAAGGGATTAGAAGTTGGTGGACAAATCCATCTTGTAGGAGAGTAACACTATGGTTTAAATTTTAAAAGCATGTGCAGTTGTAAGATGCTTAAAATGTCATTTGCCTTGCAGTTCACAAATGGGATTTAACCTATTTCTTTTATACACACAGGTGTTGTTCCTGATGTACCACTACTTTGTTGCTTCAGAAATTTATAATGCTATAAGAATTTTTATAGCTGCTTATGTATGGATGACTGGATTCGGGAATTTCTCATATTATTATATCCGAAAAGATTTTAGCCTAGCAAGATTTTGCCAGGTACTATCTTCGTCTTGGTATCCTGAAATGATTCACAATTAAGTAACAAAATTAAAGTTTATTTGTGTTTGGACAGATGATGTGGCGGCTTAATTTCTTGGTGTTCTTTTGCTGCATTGTTCTAAACAACAGTTATGTGCTATACTACATCTGTCCGATGCATACTCTTTTCACTCTGATGGTTTATGGAGCCCTTGGTATTTTTAACAAATATAATGAAAATGGCACCGTGATTGCTATCAAGATTGTGGCTTGCTTCTTGGTTGTTATTCTGATCTGGGAAATACCTGGAGTGTTTGAGTTTATTTGGAGCCCTTTCACTTTCTTTCTTGGTTGGTAGTTTATACCTTTTATTACTTACGCTGCCATTGCCAATGCTGAATGTGAATATCTAAATGTCTTTGAATTACATCTTAGGATATTCGGATCCTTCAAGACCAAAACAGCCCCTATTGCATGAATGGCATTTCCGTTCTGGCCTTGACCGTTACATATGGATAATTGGAATGATATATGCATACTTCCATCCTACAGTAAGTTCCAGTAATATTTGAGATGCATTACCTACCTTTACAAATTTTAGGGAAAATGACACTTTTAATCTCTTAGTTGAACCGGTGGTGCAAATTTATCTTTTAGTTATTCACAATGTAGACTTGGGTTCTAGGTTTTTAACAATAGGATTTGGTCTCTAACGTTATGATTATGTTAAAACCCTAATAATAAATCCGCCACTTTGCTAAGAATTTAGGGACAATCTATGCCACAAATAATTGAGGGGATAAACTTACACTAAGGTCACAACTAAAGGACTAGAAGTGTCATTTCCTCAAAATTTTAATTAAGTGCTTAAATGCTGTGATTTCCTATCTCCCTACACAAAAGAATAAATAAATAAATAAACTTTTGTTGGAATTTCATACTTCAAGGTGGAGCGATGGATGGAGAAACTTGAGGAAACTGAAGTGAAGCGCCGGATATCTTTCAAAACAGCTGTTACAATAACTTCACTGACGGTAGGAGGCTATCTTATTCCAAACATGTTAATATGTCCTTTCTTGTGTTTGATGTTATAATTTTATGAATTTCAGATTGGATACCTGTGGTATGAGTACATATACAAGCTTCCAAAGAACACATACAATAAATATCATCCTTATACATCATGGATTCCAATCACGTATGCCTATATATACCTTGTTCAACTGCTAGTTTGTGAGTTACCCATTTTCATCTAGTGATTAATGTTCTGTGCATTCATTTGATCTATGGTTTATTTTTTGTTTTATCAGAGTTTTCATATCCTTACGAAATGTTACCCAGTCATTCCGCAGCTACTCATTGACACTATTAGCGTAAGTGACCTTGGAAAATTATAGAAAAGGTCATTGTGGGATTGCCATTTAAAAAATTTGTTTAGGTAGACAACTTACTTTTTTTTTTTTTTTTTTTTTTTTTTTTTTTTCCTTTTGGAATTAATAGATGGCTCGGGAAGATAACTTTGGAGACTTACATCTGTCAGTTCCACATATGGTTAAGGTATTATGGATGCTTAAAACTGAAGAGTTTTATGATATGGATTACTAATGCACTGCATGTTGATGTATGTTTCTGCAACACAATAATGCAGATCTAGTGTGCCAGATGGGCAGCCTAAAAAGTTGCTGTGTTTGATCCCAGAGTATCCATTGCTGAACTTCATGCTTACAACTGCGATTTATGTAGCTGTAAGATGAGGATTTTTAAATTTTTCGGTTTCATTAAGAAGAAGTATAAAAGCAGGGCAGAGTGCACGAATAAAGTTGATCTTGTTACACATTTACATTTGCAGGTTTCTTATAGGCTCTTTGAATTGACAAATACATTAAAATCGGCATTTGTACCAAGCAAAGACAACAAACGGCTGGGCTATAATGCAATTGCTGCCTTAGTAATAGGAAGTGCCATATACACATTGTCTTCTATATTCTTGAGGCTATCTCAGATAATGGTATGTGAATCTTTGAATAGCGTAAAAATTGATTTTTGAAAGCATTGTGTGCAAACAAAGCAGCTAACCACCATTTTCATATACTATCATTGCTTATTATGCAGATATAATAAAAATATAAGCTGCTGCAGTGCAAAAGAATGGAAAGAGCCTAGATATCAGCAACTGCTTCCTTACAGCATAATAGGCGGTTGGATACTTGCAAAAGAAAAATTATATAGTACTTCTTTGGATACATTATTAGTTATTATTGTCACTGCAAAAATGGTGAATTCAGGGGTGTAGTGTTATTATTTGGTTAGGATTGTCTGTTTGCTTGTATAGTAGCAGCAAGTGATGAGATGATTCCATTTCAAAGGTTGGGTTCAGTTTTGTTATACAGTGCTGCTACACATAATTGCCACTTGCCCCCAATTATACACACATATATATACATGTATGGTACGGCTTTATGCTGCTCTGTATATTTCATTTTTTTAAAAAAAAAAATTATAAATTTGGGTTGAATTGATGATTACAACTTTTATTCTGCTCTGCTCTTCTTCATGTCATGCATTCACAATGATGCAAAACACTAATACTAGTTTTCGAAATGAACATTTCTAAAAAATTAATAATGAGAGATGAGGTGAGGTGAGGTTTTTGCAGCAGTGGCAGCTCCGAGATGAGATGGTTAGTCTGGGATGGGATGGGATGGGATTTCATCCTACATACAATTTCATATTACACACACAAACCTCAGGGGGCTCGTGCTATCCTCCGAGATGAGATGCTTGGGCAAATTATTATGTTAAACCGAGTCTAAAATACACTATTTACATATTAAATATTCACAATTCAAATTGTAAACATTTAAATTTAAATGAGCAAATACCAATTTTGGTCCCACGAGTATTAGCAAAATGACAATTTTAGTCCACATGTTTAATTCTTACCAATTTTCATCCTCGACTATTACTTTAGTACCAATTTTCATCCACGACTATTGTTTTAGTGCCAAAATTCATCACGCCAGTCACACATTTGTTTAAAACATGTCGAAATATGAAATTATTAAGGGTATTTTCGTCTTTTTAAAATTAAGATCCCAATTTGAGCATGAATAAAAAGATTTAAGCCCAAAGATCTATCGCGATTCGCAATTTTTCTCTTCAAATTAAAGTAGGATGATGAGGAGAACTGCCAATTGGGATTGATCTTAGGGCTTACATCCCTTTATTCATGCTCAAATTAGAGTCTTAAGTTGAAAATGACAAAAATGCTCTTAAAATTTTTAGATTTCGACATGTCTTGGATGGAGGGGTGACCGACGTGATGAATTTTGGTACTAAAATAATAGTCGTGGATGAAAATTGGTACTAAAACAATAGTCGTGGGATGAAAATTGGTAGAAATTAAACATGTGGACCAAAACCGTCATTTTGTTAATACTCGTGGGACCAAAATTGGTATTTGCTCAATTTAAATTGTGTGTTTCGGATTCAGGACCACCTTGCTAGGTGCACCCGGATTCTTGGTATAACTGCTGACATGCTTGCCTTCCATTTTGGGCCTTAACGGAGTAGTCCATTCCGCTTTAAATTTTTATTTTAGTACCAACCAATTAACTAATTACAACTCACTCTCTTGTTGTCAAAAAAAAAAAAAATAATAAAAAAAATTACAACTCACTCTCCAATCAAATTTTTGAACAACACTCCGTCGCCGTCGTGGTGGTGGTGGTGGTGGCGGCGTATATTTCGATAACTAGATTCCGGTAGGTTTTGTGTCAAAGCTTTGTATAATTAATTATTCAATCATTCTCTTCCTTCCATTACACTTTAAACTCGTAAATACTCCCTTTTGAAGGGACTAGGGAGTTGCTTATCCGAATTTATTTATTTATTTTTGGGGAGGGGAGAAAATCTATCATCCGTCATCCGAGTATAGTATAGTACTGTATCTTTTTTCTTGTAAAATGATTTTGAAACAGAAATGTCAGTTGCTCTTCAAGGTGCATAAACCTTCACTACCTTTGATCCATCAAGCAAACCCCATTTTCAATCATAAAATCCCAATAGCTTGTGAAGAATCTGAGGTTGTGAATAGGCTGAAAAATGAACCAAATGCCGGAATGGCTTTGGAGTATTTTAAATATGTTTCCAAATCCAACTCTTTCAACCATACTCAGCTAACATACCAAGCGATGGTTGAGAAACTTGGCCGCCATGGTGACATGGATGGAGTTCAGTACCTTTTGCACCAAATGTACTTAGAAGGGATTAATTGTTCCGAAGATATGTTTGTTGCTGTGATCAATTCCTATAACAAAGCTGGGGCAGCTGAGCACTCCTTAAAGATGTTTTATAGAATGCAAGACTTTGGTTGTAAACCCACAGTGAGGGTTTATAATCATCTATTAGATGCATTACTTAGTGAGAACAGGTTTAATATGATCAATCCTATATATAGTAACATGAAAAAGGATGGGATTATGCCCAATGTTTTTACATACAATATTCTTTTGAAAGCCCTGTGTAAGAATAACAGGGTGGATGGGGCTCACAAGTTGCTTGTGGAAATGTCAAACAAGGGTTGCTCTCCTGATGAGGTAAGCTATACGACAATCGTGTCCTCGTTGTGTAAGTTAGGTAGAGTGGAAGAGGCCAGAGACTTAGCTATGAGGTTTGATTTCAGTACTGTTCCTGTTTACAATGCACTGATAAATGGACTTTGCAAAGAATGCAATATCAAAGAGGCAATAAAGCTGTTGGATGAGATGATGGACAATGGTGCTACTCCTAATGTCATTACTTACACTACAATATTAAATGCTGCATCAGAGTTGGGGAATACACAGCTCTCTCTTTCCATCTTAGCAAAAATGTTTGTCAGAGGATGTTCTCCGAATATTTACACTTTTACTACTTTGATAAAGGGAATATGTCTAGCTGAAAGGTGGGATGTAGCGCTTGATGTGTGGGATAGTATGATCAAAGAAGGTATTTTTCCTAATGTTATTGCATATAACACATTAATACGTGGTCTTTGTTTGTATGGAAATATGTATGCAGCTTTATCTATCTTCAACCAAATGGAAAGACACGGCTGTTCTCCAAATTTGACAACCTTTAGCACTCTTATAGATGGCTTTGCAAAATCTGGAGATTTGAGTGGTGCATCTGAGATATGGAACAAGATGATAACTCTTGGTTGCCGTCCAAATGTTGTGGCATATACATGTATGGTGAATGTGCTGTGTAAAAATTTCATGTTTGAAGATGCTTATATGATTATTGAAAATATGATGGCTGAAAATTGCCCCCCAAACACAGTTACATTTAATACACTTATTAAAGGTTTATGTGCAAGTGGTAGAGTTGATTGGGCAATGGTGGTCTTTAATCAAATGGAGAAATTTGGATGTTCACATGATGCAACCACATATAAGGAGATATTGAATGGGTTGTTCAAAATTAACAGCCTTACCCTTGGATTGGAGCTTGTAGTGGAGATGGAGGAAAAAGGAATCCACCTTGATCTGGTGGCATACAATACTATAGCATGTGGATTTTGTCACATTGGGATGCCTGGGGAAGCTCCAAAAGTTGTTGCAAAGATGCTGGTGAGGGGAATTGAGCCTGATGTCTTCACATTCAATACACTAATAAATGCCTACTGTAAGGGTGGTAATGTCAAACTTGCCTATCAGCTTCTGGATGTAATGAGTGCAGAAGGATGGAACCCAGATTTAGTTTCATATACTAGTCTTATAGCTGGGTTCTCTGAATTGTATGATTTCGAAACAGCTATCAGTTGTGTTTGCAGAATGATAGATGAAGGAATCTCCCCAAACACATCCACATGGAACATTCTAGTCCGTGCTTTGGTTAGCAAGATTGGGTACGTTGATGCAGTAGGATATTTAGATATTATCTTGGTAAGTAGAGCAAGAAGTTAAAGTTTGAACTGCAGCTGCCTTGATATGGAACCACTGACAGTGAAATATGCATGTTGTGGCTCTAATGCTGGAACAACGCACAAACTTTGAAAAGATTTCATTATAAAGATTAAAGAATGCAGGTCCAAATCCTTCATTGCTTTGAGCGCTTTATGTTGCTTGCTTTGGGCCGCCTACTATTGGAAAGAATTACTCAAGGTATGGTATATTGATCTGTTATCTGATGTGCGGTGATTTTTCCTTTTTGTTTGAATTAGAATCCATTTAACTTCATCTGTCATTGAATTTTTTAGTGAGGAGGGAGAATGTAGAGATTGAAGGGGATGATTTGCTAAAACTTAAAAGGTTGTTGCCCTCTGTTGTGCTGATTGAGCAAATACAGTAACAACTAGTTGCTGCCTGATGGAAGTATGGTGAAGATCCTGCTGAATGTTGTATGTAATTCATGAGATAGAGTGATTGGAAGTGGCGGGTGGGTTACTTTTAGATGATCTCATTAGTCTGCAATGTACATGAAGACAAGAGAGCATGAATATTGTTGTTTTGTTTTGATACAATGATCAGCATGCATGGTAATTGGTATGATATGCGGAGAACTAATTTCAGATGGTGTTATAATTGAGCAGCAAAAATGGAGCTTGTACTCTAATCTGAGGAAGATGAGATAAACACGTGTATGTTTGTTGTAAAAGCAATATAGATAGATAGATACAATGCTCATGTTTCTTTCTGCTATATATGTACTGTTAGCAATTGGTACTTTGCATCTGACATTGTAGAGCAGAGCCAAACAGTTATAAGCCTGCCTGAGCTATGGGCTTCTTGAGGAGGAGCTTAAAAGAACAGAAGATTTAAAAGTTAAGGAAGAACACACACTAAAGAAGAAAGAATCATAATGCCAATATCTTAACTCCAATGCTAATGCTAATGCTAATGGATTGGACAATACATTCAAAGTGTACACAAATTCGCCTAATTTCACCAGTCGCAGCATATTTCTTCCCAAAATAAAGCAGCAACCATAAGCTAAGCTAAGCTAAGCTGCTACATACTTGGAATAATAGAAGATTATAGATACAACAACCTACACTTGTATTTTCCTTCTCTCTGGCCTTGGAATAGTTGGGGGCTTATTATCTCTATGTTTCATGTTATCATCTTCATCATCATCATCCACATAAATAACACCATCGTCGTCGTCGTCATCATCATCATCATACATTTCTAATTCAGCCTCAATCTCATCATCATCCCATTCATCTCCATCATCATAATCCATGTCCTCCTCCTCATCATCATCATCATCACCAGCACACATTGTATGGTATTCAGGAGGAGGAGGACAATCCTCTGTTTCTGCCTTGTCTTTCTTCATGACAAGATGTCGAATGACTCTCTCATCTTTGTCAAGCAAGTTCTTGAAATCATTAATCCATTTGGCTTCCATTTCAAAATTCATCAAAATATAGTGAGCATTGCTTGCTTTTTGTATCTTGTAGGCCAATCTTCGCATACCCCAGTCACTGAATCTCCATACCTTTCCTTTCTTCTCCTCCAAAAATTCTGCAACAAGATTAAAGTAAGTTCACCCATCCTTAAGAATAACAAACCAACATTTCAAAACAACAGACTACATTTTTTTAGTGGAGAGAGGCAGAAATGAGCAAAACACCATTTAAGATGAGGAGGAATCGATAATTTTCTATTAGTGCCAACATGAACCATTTAAGAAGCAGTACACACCTTGAACCATCTTATTCACACTCTCTACCTCATCCTTGTGATCTTCGTGAATCAAGTAAACAACCTCGTAGTGCCGCACTGCATAAGAAACACATTCACTATTACGAAACAAAATAGGCTGAAGTTCATGATTGAGTGAAAACAGTTTCTATTAGAATGGCTTGGCCACTTATTTCCTATTTTGCTGTGGAACCTTAACTATTTATTAAGAAAATAAGAAAACTAGTAGATAAGACTCATTTTATCAAGAAAAAAAATATAACAAGGGTGGGTGTGGGTGAGGGTGAGATAGATAAGCAGAAACTACTGCTATGGCCTATGAGGAAGTTATCCACTTATCCTATGAATGTGATGACAATTCCTCCTATCAGTCATTAAGCAACTCACTGCATTGACTGGGGGAGGGAGGGAACTGAAAGAAAGAACCACACTTACTTCTTTCCACATTTAACTCGCTCTCCAGTCGAAGATTTAAAGATTCAAAAAGTTCCCCTGCAAGCAAATGAAACAATCTCAACCACCAGAGAACACAACAGGGAATCCACTCACTTATCAACAATAAACAAAACAGTCACTTACGTTCTTCAGCATCTGCAAACTCGGGCAGAAGCCTACCATCTTCTTTAACCGTTGCCTGTTAAAAGTGATAATCATTTATATAATCCACAAAAAAAAAGGGGATGAATTTATATCCTTCAACAAATCTGGTATATGCACGGCTATCAGTAGAATAGGAGGATAGCTTTATAATTTACCTCTTTAAGGAGGATAGCTTCAGGAAAAGGACCAGTGGCTTCGTCTGGTCTTGGAACGAAGCTGTGGGTGTCGGCCTTCTTCTTCTTATTTGCAGCCACTATCAGGGAGGAGAATCTCAACTTTCTAGAGTAAAATGGAAGAGACAAAGAAGAAGGATGGAGATTCACTTTTGCTGAATTGGAATTGGAATTGGAATTGGAATGAAAGTTTCGATTTTGAGGATACCCATCACAGGAAGCGGCTATCAATTTCCCAACTTCTGGAGCAGCGGTGAGGAGAAATGACTCCATTTTACAAGCTCAAAACTTCTCAATCAGAGGAGAAGATAGGGAGGTTTTAGCGGGGGATAAGTCGATAAGGCCACAAGGGCACGCCTTTGTAGTTTTGAACAATATGAGGAGTAAGTAATTTCATACCACTTTTTCCCCATAAATATGAAACAGATCTTATGATAGTTATCTCAATTCTCAATTACTTATATTTTCCTACATTTAGTCTTAGGACAACAATAGTTTTGAAAATATCATATTATTAATCAATTCATAACATACAAAGTACATGATTAGACTATCTTTATTTATACAATACTCTCTGTTGGTACCGTTGGTAGAAAACACAAATAATAATCAAATTAAAATTGACTATTATTTTCTAGAAAGAATGGAAGAAAAGATGAAGAAATTTGGCTAGTGTTTGGTGTTGGGTTTTTGCAAGAGTCGAGTGAGCACTCTTTCCTTAAAACCTTATTTGCCACATCCCAAAAGATGATTTCCGGACGACATTCGTGCCCCCAGGTGCCGGCGCACACGACACATCCAGTTTCGGCCCTTACACCTCTCGTGGACTCTGTTGCACGAGAGTTGTGCTCTCTCGGTGCACCAGGCTTGAATCAAGCCTTTTTCCAATCTCTGCTAGTTGGAATTTGATTTGCACCCCCCCCCCCCCCTCTCTCCGTGCGAGAGAGCCTCTATGCTATACAATTCTACAAGCTTCAAAAGAGCTCTTGTATATAAGGGGGGGAAATCTTCATTCCAAAGCAATGTGGGACAAAAACACACTTTTTCCCTTCATTTTCCAACTCAAATGGGTCTACTTTGAGAATCAATATCTCATTCACCCATTATCCGTTTTGAGCGTACAATATATCGATCTCTTCGTCTCACTACGAAGAATCCGAATCCATTTTAACCCGACCCAAATCGGAAGTGGACCCCACTGATAATTGTACCACAAAATAGTCACTTAACATGCCATTTTATGCCATTTTTAGCTATTTTTCCAACACTCTCACTTTTAAAAGTGAGATTCACTTCGACATCATCAAATTTATAAATTTTTCACTTTTTTTTTTCTACATTCCTGCAATACTCTTTCACTTTCAAGTGTGATTCTGTTTTTATTTTATAATTATAAATATAAATATAATAATAAAGTAATAGTAAAATAACAAATAAAAAAATTATAAAAGTCAGACTTGCAAGCCACATAAGCTAATAAAATAAAACAAAAAGAAAAAAAATCTATATTACCTTCTACATCATTCTGAAAAGGGTTCACTTGCAATGGTAAACGATAATATTTCTAATAATATAAGGACGGATCATATCAAAATTTTAAAACAGGATGACACTTTTGTAATTATAACCAACTTTAATATACAAACATGAAATTAAAATATGCAATTCTCACTTTTTCAAGTTTGCACATTTAATATTAACATTTGCACATTTAGTATTAATATTTTTCATATTTAGTATTAAAAGATTGCACTTACAAAAATGCGAAAGTGTATTGTATTTAAAATTTTGATTTTAGAGTTTATGACCGAATTTTTAATTTTATTTGATTTAGTGATTCACTTTTTACTACTAAAAGTCTAGCATTTATGACTTAAATTTAAAATTTTACTTTTTTGTTGTTACATATTTAGTTGTTAAAGATCACATATTTAAATGTTCAAGTTTGCATGATAAAATTAATGATAATTACAAAAATATCATTGCATTTTTTTAAAAATTTGATCTCTCATATGTTCTTTAGCCTATATATATATTTGTTGAACTAGAAAGCTATAGTATGGGTAATTGGGTATTTGGGTATGGTCTATATTGACCAAAAAACTCGGTCAGCGCAAGAGTTCAACCAAAATCACATCATTCACAGCTCCATTTTTCTTTTTGTTTATAAATATCAAAATTATACCCTGTGAATGTGATCGTATCTGAATTTATGATTGATCATCACATTTTGTGGAACAACCCTTTGAAAGAGACTCACAATAATAATGCCTCAAAAAGTGAAACTAGAAAATTTAACCTGCCTGCCTGCCTCACCTGCGCAACCATAATCAACTCGAGAAAGAAACATTTACAGAGGCAATTCACTATTCAGTCACGCAAAGGCTATACGTTGCTTCTTGCAGTCATGTCTCCGGTATATTCAGTTGTTAAATGTTAAATTCTCTCAGCTTTCACTTTCCTAAACAACAGGGTGACTGCTTACCATTGTTTTTTCCCTTTCTTCTTTTTCTTGTTTCCACTGCCCCCACTACTACCTTTGCAGCTGTTTCCACTCTCAGTACCTGGAGATTGTGATGATGTACTACTGCCAGTTCCAGTTCCAGTGCCAGTAAAACTATTAAACACACCTGCTTGTACAGCATTCTGTAGCCACTCAACAAATTCCTCTTCTGTCATCGTCTCTTCCAAATTTGGACTTGGCATCCCACCTCTATGCCCTGAGGAGCTACCTCTTTTCCCATTGCTACTCTTTAACGTCACATTTGTGTTTACATGGAAACTTGGCTTGTGACTGTTAGCAGGACATCTCATTCCCTGTAACCAGTACATAATGCACAAGTGAGGTACTGATGTCAAAAACTACCATTAACAAACCAACTTAAAATACAATATCAATATATAATTACAAGGAACGAAAAACCTACCTGGCAAGTATACCACTCAGTTGCATCATATATCTTGTTATCAGCACAAACATATGCAGAAGGAGTGTCTACCTACTCATCAACACAGGTTGAAACTAGATCAAACTCATACCAGTTTACTATAGATATACAAGGTTTTCCATCTTCATATGGTGTGTACCTTCAGCAGTAGTCCAAAAAAGAAGGGCTGTGAGGTCTGTTCAACCCATCCATCTCCATCTTTAGCCTGGTGGAAATCTTTGCATTCCTTAAAGATACAAAAACAGATAAAAAGTAAGAATCCTTAATGATTAGAATTGAGTTCTAATATTTATTTATGTTTTGGTTGTGCAAATTGGAGGGGATGTGCATATTTAAAACTATGAACTTCCCAAGCTGGAAAAAAAAAAAAAAAAAAAAAAAAAAAAAAAAAAACTATACGGAAAAAGGAAAACACCTGACACCATCTTGCTTTGTGTTTTACTCTGTCAGTGCAAATCCAGAGATGGAATTTGCCACACTTCTTGCAGGTAATCCGTTTAGACTCTCCAAGAGGATCCTCACCAGCAGCTTCTGAATGACCAAATCTGTGGCCTCTATTCTGTAGTTGTAACACAAAGATTGAGCATAGAAAAGAAAAGTTAATAGTAAACCCTATAAACAAATAGTACTTGAGAGTCAGCATAGCAAAGATCCCTTGCTTTCAAATAAAAGAGTACTGCATGAACCAAGTCTTTATGGATAACCATACACCTATCACAAGCTTATTCTTTATGAGAACCAAAAAATCAATACACGGTATAGCTATATGTAGGCGAGTGTATAACACTGAAATAAGGTTTTAACTGAAAAAAAGCCTATTTGAATGTTTAATATAAAATAAATCAGCTAGTTAAACCTTTTGAGAAGTATTTTGGAAGCTACGGATGTAATTTATCAGTTCTTCTCTCCTCAACTCATCATCATATGTTTTTCGCTTGAAAGAATCAAGTAAAACCTGAAAAAGAATATAAACAAGTTATAACCAAAGCATGAGAATAGCAAAAGAATAATAGAAAACCAAAATTGGAATGCAATTTGTACCTCATATGCATTTTGGAGTTTCTTGAAAGCCTCTGCAGCCCTTTCATTTCCCATATTTTTATCAGGATGGACCAGCATTGCCTGAATGCAAAAATAAGTTTAACTGATTGGCAAAACCCACATTTTCGTTTTCCCTTTCTATTTGGCAAGGAACAAAAATTATGCTAATCACTTGGGGGCAGTCAGTGAGTGGGAGACAAAAGCCAATGTAACTTCATAATGTAGGGAACAATGGTGAATTTTGCTTTATCTTCAAAAAGAGTGAACTGATGAAATTTAGTTAATGCTTGCCTTTTTTCTGTACTCCCGCTTGAGAATAGAAACATCCACATTCTGAAATCGGGATAAACCCAATGCTGAATAGTGATCTGCACAGTTCAACAGTCTGATAACTTCATTTTCAGATGTCATTTCCGAGTCAGCTCCACTGGTTGAAGGTATTCCTGCACTATGATCAGCAGGTAGTCCACCACCAACATCAGCAGACACTCCAGCTGTTTGTTCTGGAAAGCTGTCAGGTCTTCTTTGCTCATTTACATTATTCTTCAAGAAGAATATCAGAACATCACTTGAAATGAATGACAAGTTTAAACCTAAGAGTAAACCAAGCCATCCAACATATGTCCGTCCACAATAGACAGAATACAAGGTCATAATGAACACCGCAATGCGCTCATGGCTCAATCTGAAGAGAACCCCTGCATTATGAAAATTGAAATTCTTAACCGGGCAAAAAGAAGAGATGAAAATGCTTATAAACAAATGTCGAAGGATCACCTCCACACAAGATGACAGGGATTGCTACAAAAAACCTTCCATAGATCCACAAGAAAGCAAGACCAATAATGGATAATGCCAGAATTGCAATAACGAAGCCAGAAAGAAGTCCAATTACAGAAACTGCTGCCTGAATGAGAATAAGAACCCATTAACATAAGAAAAATATGAACAATCAAGAAGCCAGTATTAGTTGACTAAGTTGAGTAAACACAATATAGATGCAGTTCACACAAACTAATTATTGGATATATTGAAAAGTAACTAAAACATCATGGACCATGGTGCATTAAGTTGCTCATTGAAATGCCTTCAGCAATAGAAATACATACAAAATGGGAACCACATTAGATGAAGCAAAAATAAAGGTGAAAATATTAATGAGGTGAAACTCAAATCTAGATTGATTCAAGCAGCAAAACTGAACATTCAATATTAATGAGTAATTCAAATTTAGATTACTTCTAAGCACATTGTCATCTCTTGATCCCAAGAGGAAAAGGAAGGGTTCTTACCAGAATCAATAGAAACTTTAATTTGCTCACTGCAATTAAAGAAAGAACACCCCACCATACGATTGAAAATAGTGAAGCTGTCCCCATGCATAGAAAGGAGCCCATGCCTCTAAGACTGCAGTCCAACCAAACCATTGATAGCAGAAGCAGTATATTCCCAAAATGCATAATCCATTTTAAGGCAACAGGATATGCTAGTTCAACCTTCTTTCGAGCATACTCACTAGCATTTGATGTAATGCTCTTGATATGTCTAAGCAATGGCTTCCTCCTATCTAGCCATTCAATACATGAATTTGACAAAGACAACGCTAAGGTCCCCAAATACCTAAAAACAAATTTAATGGAATGCTCAGCATTTTGTCGAGTAGTACACAATCCTTCTACTGAGGAACTAGATCTGCTATTTGGATCCTCAGAGCCATGATTAGTGCAGGGAGGTGTTTCTTTCCCTTCTCTTAACTCAAGATCTTCTGTTGTATGTGGATGATTATCATGCTTTCCTGCATAACTGCTAGCAGGTTCTGCGTCCTCGGTTACTGTTGAGGCAACCACATCTTGCTTCTCCTTTTTTAGTGACTTTCTATATTTGTGTTTGCTTTTCATCTTTTCTTCAGGTTGAGGGGTACTATTCAGTTCCTGAGTTAAAGACACACTTGGTAGATTACCATTTAAAAGCTCTTCTCCAGTAATGACATCTGTCTCACTCGCAATACTCCTTTCTCTTTTATCTGGAAATCCAGAAACAGAATCTGAAAATCCTTTTCTAGAGTTTGCTAAATGATTATTAAACCCTTGCTTTTGTTGGTTTCCTTTACGAGCCATGAGTCATGTGTTATCAGTAAATATTTGGGCATGGAATCATTTCAATTCATTCACAGTGATGCCATTTGATTACACACCTGGTGCCATAACAAAAACCCAAATATTAATGTATGCAAACCATTTCCTAACTGCATCTTAAACTCAAATATGATCTTGTTTTGCTGCTGACAATGATTTTGAATATGCAACACTCACCGCTTAAAACGCAGAGCATGCATTTTAATAGGACAAAATTAGTAATAATTGCAATTACAAGTAAAAGTTCAATTATAAAATTTCGGCACCGCTTCAAAATTCAACTAATAATCTAGACAAACAGTATGCATATCCAAACATACAGACAGACAGATAACAACGATGGCAGCATACGTGTTGCTGAAAGCCCCAAAGAATTGAATAGAGTCGGATTCCTATTAAAGGTATGCTAGAGTTCGTTGTTCAGCTCAGAACCCTAACTTTTCATAATTCTCTTGACAAAACGAGGGAATCTCAGGACAATAGCAGTAGATACATGTGTGTGTGTGTGTGTGTGTGTGTGTGTGTGTGTGTGTGTGTGTGTGAAGAGAGAAATAGAGATGGCGCTTACAGTAAATTCCAGGAAGACGATGAGCAGAATCGTAGAGCGAAGTGGAATAAAGACTATTTTGAATATTATTTATATTTTGTTAAATTTTTAGAAAAACAAACACATGATACGAATGAAGTAAAACGCGGATGCGGTGTAGATAGGCCATAGGCGGGCGTTACTCTCAACGGGTTTTCTTCTCTCTGCGTAGGTGGGCTTCGGGTTTGGCCCACAACTACCACTTCTCACTCGCATCCACATATCGCTCACTTTTATTTTTCTTGTGTGCTACTCTTATATATACCTTAAATACGTTCAAATGAAACACACAAATATAATTAATAGGGACATTGAAACTTGATGTTGCACCCGAGTTACTTTATTACACATTTTGGAAGTTAGCCATATCATTTTTTGTGTTTGTACATAGTTTTTAGATGAGTATAAATACCTCTTTACGGAGTAATTTAAGTTAATTTACTTATTTGTAATTATTTGTCAGTCAAAATCACAAGCTGTAACTTTACATCCTTGAGTAATGATTAAAAAAAAAAAAAAAAACTCATTTATTAATGTTGAGAGAATATTTAGAGTATAAGTATCAATATGTTAAAATTGATTCAAAAGATGGACTATAAATTATTGTCAAAAGCAGTGAAAAAAGATGGAAGATTATGAGTTCAAGCCTCATTGGACGCGTTATTGGTTCTTTGTGTCTCAGTAGCTATACTACAATGTAATAGAGCTAGTAGCTTTCTGTGTTCGTAGTATATAAATTGTGAATTTTATTATAGACATTTAGTATGTAAAGTGTAAACATTTGGATTCGAGTCTACATAATAAAAATGTTAACATTGTGTGTTCGTAGTATATAAATTGTGAATTTTATTATAGACATTTAGTATGTAAAGTGTAAACATTTGGATTCGGGTCTACATAATAATTTGCGGGGTGGTGGCATATCCATATTGGTCATATAAGGGCAATTTATATCGTGCACCAGGACGCGCATTGCATTGTGTGTCCTGATGCAAAACGACACCGTGGCATACACCGTGGCATATCCATATTGGTCCTATAAGGGCAATTTATATCGTGCACCAGGGCGCGCATTGCATTGTGTGCCCTGATGCAAAACGACACCGTTTCATATAACTGTATAAAAAAAAATACACATAATTATATAAATAAACACACATAACTGTATAGAAAATACACATAATTGTATAAACAAATACACATAATCTCGTCAACTTCCTACCGCGCTTCCCAAAACGACGTTATTTTGGAAAACGCATGGCGCACAGTGCTATGTGCGCCGTGGTGCAGGGTATAACGATTGTCCTATAAGGTGAAAACTCCCAAATTGTTTTAGTTTGATGTCAATAAGTGGGTTTTAATATAGGGCCTCCGATCCCCGCTGCATCAGTACAAACTTGTCATCATCAGCCCAATGGGGAGCTGATTGGGCATGTATGGGGGGTGTCATCGTTATAGCATCTTCATCTTCATCCAGCATGGATTGCATTTCTGTACGAACGGGCCTTGCTGATCTCCCTATATAGTATATATTTTGCTAATAAAGTGCGGATGGATGGGAAGAAATTTGTTTTTTAGAGGTCGAGAGGCTTATATTAAAGGCCGGTCGGTCATGAAAGTAATAATTTGGATAAAAGTTAAAAAGGAATTGAAGAAAAAGAGATAAGAGTTATATATATAATTGAAAGCACAAAATAATGCACGTTAGATGTTACAGAAAGGTGAAAAATGGCCCCTCCTAGTGCCGGCAACATGCACCACACTACTCACTCATTTGGGATGTGATCGAGGTGAGTGAGGCAAGCTAGCTACGCGAATCATGACACTCCCCACAGGTCAAAGATTTGGTATTCCAATCCCCGGCCCATTATATATATATATATATATATATATATATATATATATATATATATATATATATATATATATATTGCTCACAATCACTTGTGATAAATATATTGTTATCCATTTTTACAATCTCAGATAAAATAATGCATTATTTTTAAAAATAGCAACCTTAAAAAAAAAAAAAAAAAAAAACAGTGAATAAATTTCAAAAATATTTGTTTGACTATCATGCAATATTTTTCAAAATAATGAGATATGAGTTGTTTTTTTGTTTGTTTTTTTTCTTATTGAAGGAAAACATAAAGATTTGGATGCATATGGGCAGTTGTGGACATCATCATTTTGTGCTAGAAATCATGACTTCCAATCACACCAATATTCACAACCTACTATACACTAAACTCTAATTAGAGTCCGCAAGCACGTGGTCGAATATATATGATAGATACTAATCTCTCCTTAATCTCATCTTTTTAACATACTTCCACAAATCTGGTCAATCAGGTCGGACCTAGCTACTTCACTTCTACCACCATCCACTCTATAAGATCCACCATATCGGAGCTAATTGAATATATCTAATTTCTTCCATATATACTTCCATAACAATATAATTTATTTAGAGAAAATGATCAAATAAGTCTATGAATTTTACTCAAAAAATCAATTAATAGATTCTTAAACTTTCAAATGTTGTAATTAAATTTATAAATTAAACATGTTATTTTTTAGCATTGAAGTCTATAAACCGATTGGTAACATGTGATTGCAAATCATTAGGGTTCTTATGATCCTCTGCCAAACTCCGGCGAGCCTCCAGCCAATTTCCAGCAACAAAACACCGCGTCAACGTTTTGTTGGCAAAAATTGGTTGGACGTCGGAACCCTAATGACTTCCAATCACATGTAACCAAGAATTATTTTGACTTCAATGCTCCAAAATAACATGTTTATGGGTTTAATTGCAAATGTTAAAAGTTTAATGATCTGATTAATTTTTTGAGTAAAGTTTAGAGCTCTATTTGACATTTTTTCTATAATTTAATAAATTTTGTATTCATTGAAGTAATTGAATTTGTGATAAAATGGACCAACTTTGAACTTGTATTATTAGTTAGCTTATTTCAGATATGTGGGTTTTAACTCTTTTTAATAGAGATAAAGTACAAATAAGTCACTGAGTTATTGGAAAAATAATAATTAAGCCATTAAACTCAAATAACCCCCAAATAAACTATTGAACTTGAAAAAAAAAAAAAAAAAAAAAAAAAAAAAGCAATTAACATTTTTAACATGTTAACACCAGATTTTTGCTCACTGAATTGCCAAATTTTATTTTATTTACGTTTTTTTATTACTATAATCCACCTACATAGTAATATATTTTTAAGTAATTATAAACAAAATAGTTTTGATCTTTAAAAAAAATCAAAATAGTTTTAATCTTTAAAAAAATAATCAAAATAGTTTTGTCTTGTCTAGATCCAATTTATTTATTTATTAATATTTTTAAACAAAAAATTTAGTGAAAAAATAATAATTAATAAATAAATCAAATATTGACAAGACAAAACTATTTTGATTATATTAATTATTTTAAAATATAATATTATCCAAGTGGATGATGATGATGATGATAATAATAATAATAATAATAATAATAATAATAATAATAATAATAATAATAATAATAATAATAATAATAATAAATGTAAATTAAAAAACAAACATTTGACAATCCAGTCAGCAAAAATATGAAATTAACCTGTTAAAAATGTTAATTGCTCATTTTTCCGGGTTCAATGACTTATTTGCTCTTTTTCGGGTTCAATGACTTATTTTGGGGCTATTTGAGTTTGATGGCTTAATTGATGTTTCCCAAATAGTTCAATGGCTTATCTGTACTTTATATATTTTTAATATGTTGGTATTCTGGTTACTATTTTAAATTGATGGTTATAAGTTTGAACTTGGATGGTGAGAGCTTAGATTTTTTGGGTTGAAAATGTTTTAAACATGTACTATTTTGTAAAGAATCTGAGTATCTCTCTCTCTCTCTCTCTCTCTCTCTCTATATATATATATATATATATATATATATATATATATATATATATATATATATATATATATATATATATCAGAAATGAGTTAATTCCATTTTTTATCATAGATTTATAGGTGGCAATCCACTTTTAGTCATTTTTTATCAGAACATCTATTTTTTATCCTAGTATTATTGTGACATGACCAATTTTGGTCCTCTATACAAAAATCATTGTAATTTCGTTAAACACAAGAGCATTTCGCTCTTCAATTATGATTTTTTTCAAAAAATAAACATAAAATATATAACAGGTCATCACACTTTGTATTAAAAAGATCAAAATGTCATTCTATTTAACAAAATTTCGACAATTTTGTTAATAGATGACTAAATTGATCTTATCAGAATAATACTTGGACCAAAAAAGAATATTATGATAAAAAAAATAACTAAATATGGACTGTTACTTATAAATTTAGGATCAAAAATAGAATTAACTTGAGAAATATAGCGTACAATATACAACAGGGTAGGCCGGGTAGGGTAGAAATGAAAGGGGGTGGGTGTGGTGCAATAGCAATAATAGCGGAGGGAGGAGGGATATTTTGTGGAGCATACAAACATAAGAAAGTAGAAGAAGAGTTGAAAAAGCAGTCACGAGGAAACTCCTTTACACAGATCTGCAAAACAGTATTTATTCTCTTACTTCCTTCAATTCAATTCTAACCACAACAACGTACTATATATACCTACTTACCTAGTATTATTAATTTCCTCCAATATATATATATATATATATATATATATATATATATATATAGGGACGCACTCAGGTGCGAATAAGTGTCCAGGAAGGAAATGCGAACGAATCAACGCGTGACACGTGTCCAGATCTAATAACTTAAAAAAAAAACGCGGTGGCATTTTCGTAAATAATTGAACATCGAAGTGCAAGTAAAATCTCTTATAAGTGCACTTATTTTCACCTATAAGTGCATGTAATTTTGCCTTGTTAGCATTCACTTTCCGCAACCATTCATGCACCTGGGTGTGCTTATAACTATATGTGCAACTATTTATAACTATAGGTGCAACTACTTATAACTATATGTGCACCTACTTTCACCTATAAGTGCATGTAATTTTGTCTTGTTAACATTCATTGATATGAGTTCAGCGGGTAGTAATACTCCTGAAAACCACTCGCAAACATTCATACACCTAGATGCAACTACTTATACCTACGTGTGCAACTACTTAGAACTATAGGTGCAACTACTTAGAACTATAAGTGCAACTAAGTATTGATGCTCAGTGTAAATTTTTACTTGCACCTATAATACATTTTACATGCACTTGTAATACATTTTACTTGCACTTCGATGTTCAATTATTTACGAAAATGCCACCGCATTTTTTAAAAAAATCAGTGTTTCTCATCCATTAGATCTGGACACGTGGACGAACAGAATCCATTCCTATTTCGCGCCTGGGCGAGCCGTTCGCACCCGAGTGCAACTATATATATATATATATATATATATATATATATATATATATATATATATATATATATATATTATTCCATCTACCCCATTTTATCTATATGTTTAATTACTATTCATAGATCAAACAAATTTTTTCTTATTTACTTATTTGCTTTAGTATTTTTGTACATAGTTATTTTTAATTTTGTTTTGTTGTGTTTAATAGACTTTTAATCTAGTTTCTAAATATATAAAGCAAACAAGTTAATGTATGTAGTAGGTAAAACGATACTTTTTTTTTTCAAATACTACTGACTCGATCTATTACATTGTAGTATTTGTTCAAACATACTCTCTCTCAACCTAATGAAGCACACAGAGTCAACAACGCCTCCACTAAGCTTGATCTCATGACCTCCCACATGGGAAAGGTCATTACATGCCATCCGAGGTAAAACGATACTTTTTACTCCTGAATTATTTCACTTTTGGAAATTTAGTCATGTAAATTAATTTAAACAAATTAGCCTCTCAATTGCTTATAATGTTACACTTATAGTTCCTAGTGTTATATAATTGTCAAACTTTAAAATAGGATGCTATTTTTATTATTTAGAATTAATATTCACTATTAAAAATAATGTTCTCATACAATTAATGAATAAAATATGTTCAAATGAATTAATATGAATCAAATTCTCATACAATTAATGAATAAAATATGTTCAAATGAATTAATATGAATCAAATTTTTAAAAGTAAAATAATTCAGAGCTAAAAATGCTGTTTCCCTATGTTGTAATACATACATACATGTAACAACATTATTTCTCCGACCATTGACATTGATAGAAATGTGTCCTTATTCAAAAAGAATATATACGTACTGTACTGTATGTCTATATGTACCTACCAATACAATCCTAGCTATATACACAGATAAAGCTTTCTAAATAATTGCATTGCATCCAGTGATCCATATATAACTAACTTCAATTCAACTCCGATCCATCATCCATCCATAAACATACACAATAAATATCATTATAAAGTGTGTACGTGTATGTATACATGTATCTACTCTAGCTTAATTAGCTTCTACTAAATTATATATATATAATGAATTACAAATAATCTTGAAGTTACTCCAGATTGATCTGATCTTCAATTCAGCGGTGATGAGAGGGTGTTTATGCATGGATTTGAAACACAATATAATATAATGATATATGTTTTTGAGGAGGGCGCTGAAATGTGCAAATCTAATTAGTTTAATAGCTCAGGAGGGATAGACAAGGAAGGAGAAGACGAGTTGGGGAGGGAGGACGAAGATGCTGAGAAAACCTTGTGCCAGAAAATTTTCGACACAACGTTATTCAGACCACAAAATACAAGAAGAAAACACACAACAATGGGTCTTACAAGGTCAAGAAAAGGTCTTACAAGGTCAAGAAAATTGGGTGAGAATAAAAAATAAAAGGCAACAAGTCAAAAAAAAAAAAAAAACGAATAAGAAAAGGTGATGGGGAAAAAGCTCAGGTAGGATAGCACCCAATTAATACAAATGAGCCGCCGTCAAGGTGGAGCTCCCGGCGCCGGCGCCGGGACCCAATTCAAATCTCTGGCGGCCCAAACTTTCAACGCCCCAGATTCCATCAGCTTTCCAGTTTTGCGGGCGGATGACAAGTCTTGAACTCATTTTTAAGACTGCCTGCATTTCCAGAAATAGTAATAAGTTTAATTTCAGTTGTTCATGGATAATAATGATAATTAGATGGGGAGTTATACAAGCTAGAACAGAGAGAGAGAATTTAAGGAAGAAAGATGTATACTTTAATAGACAAAAAAATAAAAATAAAAAAATGATGAAGTAAAGCAGTACCAGAGTCTGAGTAAACACGAGAAGAAAATACACAATCTAATCTAATCTAGGAAACAATAAGTTAATATGTTTACTGTAGAAAAGCTAAGGATGGGTGATGAGTTGGAAGATTTGATAGATTTCTCTCTCTAAAACTGCGTGTTTCATACCTTGCTGTGGAGATTTCAGTCTTGCTTTTTGATCTGCAATATTTTCTCTCACCCCCATAAAAATAAAAATAAAAAAAGAAAAAAGAGGAGAAATTTAGAGAGAGAAGTGAAAGCAGAGAGAGAGAGAGCGATATGAATGGAAATGGATGTATGAGGAGAAGGGATAATGAATGAGGAAATTGAGAGAGTGGTGGGCTTATAAAGGAGGGGAGAAATTTAGGAGAAGAGAGAGTGGGCTAGGGCGATGGACCTGACAGTGACTGCTCCAAGGCCCAGAAAGAATGTAAGGAATAAAAAGTAAATGGAAAACAAAAACTTAAAAAAGTTCACAACTCTTTATGACGTCACTTGTGAGACGCCCCACCCTACTACGTGTCAATTGTTATATCATGGACCATGACTCATATTGCATTATAAATTTTAATACAAAAATTATGTACATTCAGTTAATACATTTTATATATACAGTTAATAGTTTCTATATATGTAAACAAATATTACATTGTGAACCAGGACTATGTGGTCTAATGGTACCTGAGTTGGACTTTCATTTGGAAGATTATGAGTTCGAGCCTCAGTGGAGGCGTTATTGGTTCTTTGTGTTTCAGTAGGTTGAGAAAGTATATGAACAGATACAAAAAAAATTATGTACATCTATTTAACACATTATGTACGGACTCACACATAATATGATAGCTACAGGTACAGAATCTGAAGATTATTTTTGGACCAGGGTCACAATGGAGTATAGACCTTGGTCCATGACATAATTTGCTACTTCAGGTTCAGGCAATAATTTAGTGCAACTTTTTTTTTTTTTTTTTTACTCGACCCCCATAATATGCATTTTATAATTCATAATGTATATTATTTTAACACATAAAGTACATTATTTTAACACATGTATATTATCTTATCACAGAAGTTTCAATATTTTTACCTCATAATATACATTTTTAATTAAGCTCATAATATACATTATTATCTAACATATAAAATACATAATTATAATACATACTTTACATTATCTTATCTCAAAAATTTAATTATTCTAACATATAATGAACATTATTCTACCTCATAAAGTTTAACAACATTATTTTTTACAGTTGTCCACACAATTATTTGTCAGGTTCAGAATCTCAGATTATCCCCCAACAACTGCAAATTAATAAATTCACGATTTATTTTCGATCTCTACTAAATCTCCACAAGGACAAGGATTGTTTAGAATTCAAACATATTAAAAGTAGCAATTATATAAGGACACAAATAAAAATGAAAATCCCTTCTTATCAACAAATAATAAAACATGGAAACATTTCCACGTGGCTCTTTTTTCTCCATTCACGTCTTTGTTTGGTCACCAATTTTTCACTGACACAAACAAAAAACATATGGGTATCTATCTGGTGTAATTTAACATTTTAACCACAACTTCTATAACTTAAATAATACTCCGTTATATATATTGTTTCCCGTGCGGATGTGCGTGAGATTTGTACTCAATGTGCGTGAGTGTTGTGTTTAATGTGCCTGAGATTTGTACTTAATGTGCGTGAATGTGTAAAATGCAGCTGAAAATATTGATGTCAGCTTTTTCCTCATCCCAATAGCCATTTGCCCCTCCCTGATGATAATGATGCGGAGGCGAGCTATGGTGGTTAAAAATTATGGGAATAATACAACAGAAATCCACACTTAGCTGCTGTGCAAATTTTACTGTGCGTGCGTCATTTATATAAACATTCAACTGCAGTGAAGGTAGCTGATAATCCAGAATCCATGTTCAAATTGAAGGAAGAAGTAACAAGAAGCTTGGGCGTTAATGTGCGTGAGTTTCTGTTTTGCTTCCTTCTGAGCTCGTAATTCTGAAATACGCACGCACATTAAGCACAAATCTCACGCACATTAAACACAATACTCAGGCACATTAAGTACAAAACTCACGCATATTAACATGACCCACATTAAGTATAAACCTCACGCACATTAATCCACCGCACATCCGCACGGGAAGCAACAAATGCACCTGATCCCTTCCCTATATATATATATATATATATATATATATATATATATATATATATATATATATATATATTATTTACTTATTTATAATAACTGAAGTGATGTTTACTAGTAATAATAATAATTAGAGTACGTTTAGTTGGAAGACTTTTATACCTTATTATGGGTTTCAATTTTGAATATTATATTTGTTTGCCTATTTTTATTATCCTAGTATTGAATTTAAATCATTTACTAAATTCATTATTTTTTTTTCTCCTCTACTTTTGGAGAATGTATAAAAAAAAAAATAAGAGCTAAAGAATGAAGAAAATAAAAAATTTATTGTCAATGCATTAAATACAAAATTTTAATACACACACACACTGTTGGGCGTCGCCCGAATTGGCCGAGTTCAGCCCCTACTCGATTCGAGACGTGGCGTTGTGGCTTATCATGGAGAGATGTGGTTAAATGGTTAATGTCCACCTACCTATCACCAATTGGTTTTAAGTAGGGTATGGCAACTAGGTACCATAGAAATCTATGGTTAAGCATGCTTGACTTCCGGCAATCCCGGGATGGGTGACCTACTAGGAAGTGAGCATAGTGCAGCGCTGAGATCCAGTGGGATGTGGGCGTAGCTAACAATCACGAGTTCGAATCGATGGCGAGGCGAAAGCCAAGTCCAGTCCCAGGTGGGATGTGGGCGTAGGTCGGGCTAAGTCCAATCCCAAGAGGGGATGATGGGCGCGTAGGCTACGGACCGGAGTTCGAATCGATGGCGAGGCGAAAGCCAAGTCCAGTCCCAGGTGGGATGTGGGCGTAGGTCGGGCCAAGTCCAATCCCAGGAGGAGATGATGGGCGCGTAGGCTACGGACCGAGTCAGGCATGCTGGGTAACTGGGCTTGGTGATCAAAGGTTGCGGCAGGTGCTGGGATGTGGATTGTTGGGCGTCGGTCGAATTGGGCGAGTTCAGTCCCTACCCGATTCGGGACGTGGCGCTGGGCTTACCATGGAGAGATGTGGTTAAATGGTTAATGTCCACCTACTTATCACCAATTGGTTATCCCGGGATGGGTGACTAGAGCTGTCAATGCGGGCTGGCGGGGCGGGGCCCGCCAAAGCCCGCCTTTTGGCGGGGCGGGCTAAAAAGCCCGCCAAGAATACGGGCCTAGGTAGGGGCAGCCCGCCCCCCCCCCCCCCTAGGCCCGCGGGCCCCGCCAAAGCCCGCTTGTTTTTTTTTTTTTTTTTTGTTTTTTTTTTTTTTTTTGTAATCATGTGTGATGTCCCTAAAATCTAAACTCTAATGTGATTATGTTAATAACTTAATTGCTATCTACTTAAAACACTTATTCATAAAAAAATAACATAAATTCGTTCATCACAACATGACAACAATGACACCAATAGGGATAAGTATAATTATCGAAAAACCGATAATCGATAACCAACCGACCGATAATTTCAATTAACGGTTATAAGCAAAAAAAATTGATTATTCGGCTATTCGGTTATTTATCAATTACGAAGTTGTAATAACCGCGATCACCGAATAACCGACACTATAATTTATATTATTATATTATATATATTAATTTTAATTATATATATATATATATATATATATATTAGTTACTTACATATATAACTAATATATATAATATAAAACTTTAAAAAAAAAAAAAAAAAAAAAAGGCGGGCTGGCGGGTAGCCCGCCAGCCCGCCTCGCCAAGCCCGCGGGTTAGGCGGGGCGGGCAAAAAAGCCCGTTTTTAAAACGGGCTTGAAAAACATGAGCCCACCCCGTCCTTTTGGCGGGCGGGGCGGGAAAGCCCGGCGGGCTAAACCTATTTTGACAGCTCTATGGGTGACCCCCTGGGAAGTGAGATAGTGCAGCGATGAGATCCAACACACACACATATATAAATGTTTATATATTTATTTATTTTAATTTCAATTCATATTTACTACTAAATAAAATGACTTTCCATACTTAAACACGTTACCATTATCAATTTGATTCACATCACCCTTCGAATTCCAACACCCTTAATTCTGTCCAAAAGATTGAACCCCAACCCGGCAGAGCATCGACTTTGAGAGGGGGCTCCAACATTGCCACTGATGAGACTCGATCCCTGGTCATTCTTTCCAACTTTCATGTCTACAACCAGTTGAGCTGCCAATGGGGCCCAACACCCTTAACAGGGCGTACTGATGAGACAAAATTACCCTTCTCTTTTTTAACCTAAAATGAATGTATAATCTTTCCTTTTAACAACAACAATGAGCATTTTGGACTTCATAATAATTCTTTTTTTTTTTTTAATGTTACTGGCCCTATTACATTGTAGTATCTGTTCATATACGTTCTCAACCTACTGAAACACAAAGAACCAATAACGCCTCCACTGAAGCTCGAACTCGTAACCTTCCAAACGAAAGTCCAACCCGGGTACCATTAGACCACATAGTCTTGGTTATTCATAATAATTCAACTATCATGAAATTACAATTCTTTTCCCACATAATTCCCCCCCTCCAACCAAACGCCCCGTAATTATTATTGAATTTTATGAATATCAAACTCATAATAATATAATAACGATGTAGTGATAATGTAATCTTCAATTCAATTCCGTATATAATATTTATTAAATACATAATTATATTGTTTAAGAATACAAAAACAATAGCTATCAACCTAACCTTACCTCTACGCACTTCCACCACACCCATATATAAATACAAAATGATTTCCCAAGCATCAACGTACGTTACCGACACAAGACAAGACAATTGGAGTAGATTATTGCTTCATTTAAGGTTCTACTTACCATTTTTTCTAATGAGCAAATTAAAGAAAAGTTAACCAAAATAATTAAGAGCATATATGGTTTGGCGTGTGACGGTACGGTGTTCTAACTTCTAAGAGGAAGATGCATGCATGCGCCATCCGGTCAATACCTAACCTAATTTTATTGGCCTGCGTTCTCTCATTATTATATGCTAATCTTCTTCCTCAATTTTGAAGAGTACCAAACTCCAACAAATTTTTTATATGGAACGCATTCCTATATATAATACTTTCCGGCGTTGAAAAAGAGATTATTGTTTTTATTCTGCCACAACATATCTCAATGATTTTTTATTTTTATTTTTTTCTAACCAATCTCAATG